CTTGGAATGGCTCAGGGCCACCTCTGAAACTGACTGCACTTCTGGAGGGACTTCGTTCCCTCCTAATGTGATTTGTAGCTGTGGTCCATGGAATTAGGGACCCCACACCCTGCACCCAATGCTCTTCTGCTTTGAGGGTTCCTCTGCACTTCTCCATGTTTTGAGTCCAAGTTCACCAACTTCCCAGCTTAAGTCTCCACTCTGAGGTGTTCACTGCCGTACTGTAGTCCCCTAACCTGAGCTGCTTGAAGCACTCAGGGGCAGAGGCCCAGGGCACTTGGAGGAGGCACCCTCAAAACATATTCTTCCACACTGTCTTTCTCTCTCCCTCCTACTTCACACACATGCACAGGGAGTCCTCAATCACCCTGCAGGACCCCCCCACCAGCCCAGCTCCAAACTGACCCAGCAGTAAGACCCAGCAGAGCACCCATGGGCCTGGCCCTAAGGGACAGCGCTGTGCACTGTTCAGCTCTCCTCAGGCCCAGGACAGACTCACTGGCAGGGGCACACCCACCATGTCCTCCCACTGAGCACCTGCTGCTCAGTAAACTCTGAGGTCCTGCGCTGACCTGGCTCAGGGAACCAGCCCAGTGCAGCTTCACGCAGGACTGGGCACTGCCCATCCTCCTCTTAGGGCTGCTGTGCAGAGGGCTGAGTATGGGGCCCTGGCACAGGAGCCCAGAACACAGTGAGGGTTTATTAGGGGCCCAGCCTGAGCAGGGAAGCCTGCCAGGGATTGGGAGGTGACCAGCACGAGTCCCAGGGCTGAGCCAATGGGGACAGAAAGAAAGAGGGCAACAGGCCCAGGTCCAAGCCCTGCTCTGTATGTCCCAGGCTTTGTGAACAAGTCCTGCAAACTCTGGGGGCTTCTGCCCCTCATGGAAAGTGGGAAAAGACAGCAGCTACTGTACAGCTGCTGGGTGATTAAACAGGGCCGGAAAGACAGTCCTTAGCAAGCAAGTATCAGCAAGAGCAGTGCTCACCAAGAAGGTCTCAGTGTCCCACTCACCTGGTCACAGGATGGAGACCTCATCAGTGGCACCTGGTGGCAGCTGGGGTGACTGAAGTTGCACAAGACAAAGGTGCCCTGAAAAGCAAAGGGGGCCATGAGGAACAGTACAGTAGGGACGCACACTCCTGCAGGTCAGGATGGAAGCTCCAACCCCAGCCCCAGCCCCTCACCTCCGGGCCTGTCTTCACACACACACCACAGTACGCACAGCAGCACACGATTATGGTGGGGTACACGGTAACAGGCGGTGGCGTGGGTGCTGGGGGAGGCACTGGAGGAGGAGGAGGAGAAGAATGTGGAGGAGGAGGAGAAGTAGGAGGAGGAGGAGCAGGACGACGAAGACGACGAGCAGGTTTCTTGGCTCTTCGCTTCTACAAGAGAAGTGCACTTGTCCATATCCCTGTACCCTGCCCTGACACCTGCATGTGGGGTCAGCTAAAGTTTTAGGGTGACAGAAAGCATGACAAGCAGCACCTACAATGAGGGGCAGGCCCTGCATGGCAAAACAGCCAAACTGCCCTGGATTCCAAGCCCAGTCCTGCCCCAACCACCCCAACCCCACCTCGGGGCCTTGGTCTCCTGAGACCACCCTGGCTGGAGGCTGTGCAGGGATCTGGGCTCTGGCAGCTGACTGTCTCCTACCCCTGGCAGATGCTACCTCCACAGGCCATGGTACTGCTAACACAGGTCCCAGGCAGCACCCTGTTTCCCAGGATCCCCAGCCAAGTCCCCTGGCCCAGCCACTCAGCACTTCCAGTCCCACTCAGCTGCCCCCAAGGCTGCGCCCCCTCCCTGTGCTCCCCTGGGGGCACCCTCACAGCTCAGCCCCCGGACCCCTTCCACCTTCAGCCCTGTGGTTCCCAGCACAGTCCTGCCCTTCAGGAAACAGGGATGAAGATGAATCCAAAGGAGCCCAGCAGACAGCCAGGGGGGACATGGGGCCAGCACACCTCTCCCAATGCCCTGAGCACTCACATCCCAGGGGCACCTTTGTGGTGACATAGCCAGTCAGGTTAGTAGGGACAGCAAGTGCTGAAACAGGGCCCAAGGTGCTCTGTTTGTGACAAAGGCTATGGCCAACAGGACATGGAGGCTAGGGCTTCTTTCTGGGGACATCACTGAGTCTCCTGTCCCTCCCTCCTGACCCTCTGTGTTTTCTTCTTCAGCCAGCTGTGGGGGAGCTCAGGTGCAGACTTTCTGGTGCCTCACATGATAATCAGTGTCCCCCAGGGGCCTGTCACAACACCAGGATATAAGTAGGACTCACTTTTTTTGGCTTGGGTGCAGGTGGTGGCTCTTTCTCAGGCTGGAACATAAAGAGACACACACTCTTACAAGGGAGCCAGCCCTGCTCCAGGGTGTTAGGACGGCCTCTTCAATGGAATCCCAGACCCACTGGGGTCTTGGTTTCTCAGGGCACTCGCTGAGCTCTGCTGGGCTGGGGCAGATGGGAAATGGCCCACAGGTTGAAGCACGGGGCTGTCCCATATCCTGGTCCCTGGTGCAGAGGAACTTACCGTCCTGCAGCATAACCACCAGATCCACCAGAGCACCATGGGGATGAGCAGCAGACCAAGCACCCCTGTGAGGAGCAGAAGGGCTTGGCTTGGCTTTGTTTCTGGCAGCTCCGAGCGCAGGGTTGGAGTTGTCTGGAGGGCCGTGATGGCTGGGGGTCGTGGAGTGACTGGGGCTGAAGCTGTGAGCAGGGGTCGAGCTGAGCTTGTGGGACGAGGGCGTGTTGGAGTGGTTTTGGTGGTTGTCGTTGTCGTGGCGGTTTTGACAGTTGTCGTGGTGGTTGTGGAGGGTGTTGTCGTCCTTGTGGGTGGCTGAGGTGTGGGTTGAATCTGCGGGAGGAAGAGATAGCCTGACTGTGGCCAGCACCTAGCATGAATTAAAGGTGACAGGATAGGACCTGGAGCACTCTGCTCATGGGCACTCATGTGCTCATCTGTGTCGACACAGCTTGGACAGATTGTAGGGAGCTCAGTGTAGTGAGGGGACGGGGCTGTTGCCCTGGGCTGCAGGCTGTACCTCTGCCCTGCTCAGGGCTCTGCACTCAGCCAGGACAAGAAAGCCAAGCAGCCCCATCTCACCCTGAACCTCACTGCTTGCCTCAGATCCAGTATAGCATGTCCTGAGGACACAGAAAGCTACAGGTGCCACATAGGGGAGCTTGGGCTGCTGGGGCCCCAGGGTCAACAGGAGACCTGGGCTCCCCCAGGCCTCCCTGTCCACCTCTTGGCACTGCATCCTGGGCTCATTCTGCCCTCTCTGAGCCTCAGTGGGCCTCTATGCAGAGAGGAGAGAGCCTCTTTCAGCCCGGGTACTTGTGGGCTCAGAAGGTTTGGGTGTCCCCTCATGCCTGTGCATGAAGGGGTGAGTGGTTGTTACAGTGAGGACATAGGTGTTGCCTGCCCTGGCCTTTCCCAAGTCACATGCTCGCTCAGAGGAGGCTGCCAGGGTAATTGGTACTTTTGTGTGTCATGGATCATGTCCACTGCAATAAGTTTTCACCACTTGCATGGCTGCTCCATGGTCTACATGGGACCCTCTGACTTGGCCTCTCCAGTTGCCTGTGTGCCCACAGCAGGGCTCTCCCCAGCCTGAGTACACAGCCCCCAGTACTCACACAGTTTGTAGTGGTCTTCACACTGATTCTGCGGGACAGGAAGTCCCGCCCATTGTTCAGGCTGACTTCCACTGAGATGTTCCTAATATACAAGAGACAGACAAGGGACCCAGTGAACAGAGACCAGGACCTTGGTGTTGGCCAGGGCACAGTCCACAGTTCTGCTCATGATCATGACTCTGAAAGTCGCTGCATTCAGGGTGATCAGAGGGACATGACATGGATCACGAGAGCTGGTTCCCCATGTCACTGCAAGGTCAGCCTTAGCAAGCTGTGGGGCTCAGGCCGTGAGTACTCTCATTGGTCATGGCGCCATCCTGGCCATGACTGAGTGAGAGGGAGGTCTGCATGCCGTCACAGTCCTCACTTCTACTGCTTGCTGTATGGTCTTAGCCAGGATAGGAGACCCAGAGGAAAGGCTCCCAGCCTAGCCTCTCCTGCATCTACCCTCCACATTGCCCAGGCCTTTGTGAATCCCTGGACACCTTGAGAGTCACCCAAAAGGACAGGTGGGAAAGGTGCCTCAACCTGGAGCAGGCAAACCTGTGTTTCCTAGCACAGGGCACCCACAGTCAAGACATGAGAGGGTGGCAAAGGGAGGCCACGCTGTCACCACCCACTAGGGCCCAGAACCATGGGTACTTACTGTCCATGTTTCAGTTGCTGTGGTTGAGGACAAATTATAGTGGTCATGTTCATACTGATTGGACGTTCATCTGAAAGAAAAAATCATGGGAAAATGTCTGTACACTTGTCCATCTGCTTTGTGACCTGTTGCCATCCCAGGAACAAGACTGTCACCCTGCCACTCTGGTAATTATTGAGAGTATATGATATGTGCATCAACTTGAATTGAAGTCCTTATTAATTGTGTATGCTTCTCAAGCATCGCCATGAATGCTAAATTCTCTCTGAGCTTCTGACATCTGATATTAGACCAACCAGAGGAGAAGCTGCCAAGGAATGGTCTGAGGAAAGAGGGATATGGGAGGAGCATTGGCCAACTCCTGAGGCCAAACTACTAAGGATTGAAGAGTGAGCCAGGAGAGGGAGTGGAATGGGCCCAGGAAGGGCTTTGGATTTTATCCAAGTGATAGATCTTTCTTGGGCTTCACAGATTAGATTTTTTTTCACAGATTAGATTTTGAACATGGTGTAGACAAAGGTTTAGCAGGACTGGCTGGGGAACTGTGTGTGGGGTGAGGCTGAGGGAAATCATTTGGATTGTTGACCATATGTGCCATTTGTCAATCAGGGGAAGCCTGTAGAGAGAATAAGAAATTTTGTGTCTCATTTATATTATTCATTTATTTCTTTGTTTATTTATTTATTTATTTGGTGCTGCTACTGAATCATTTACTTTTAAATGTGTCTCCATGAGTGCATGTTAATTCTACAAAATGTTGGGTTTCAATGTGGTGTTTCATATATGCATATAACATATTTTTATAATATCTATCCCTGTTGGGCTCTTAGCCAAGGAATGAATGGTTAAAATGCGAGACGACGCACACAAATAATTAAATTGTGTGTCAAAAAAGCACACATGTTCTTGAGAATAGAATGGTTAAACAAGAAATTTAGATTACTGAAACTTGTTGTGCCTGGCCGTTGTCCTTCCCCTTTCCCCAAGAAAGACTGCCTACCCTTAAGATACATCCTGACCCACATTTTGCTTTTCTCCTGCTTTTTTTCTTACACTGAGATTCTAAATAAAAACCAGGAAGTTCTTGGCTTTAAGGCTTTTTTTCTCCTGGGAGTCTTCCAAAAGCTGGGCACTCTGAGATGAAAATAGCCCCTTTGGGCTTCTCTGTAACTGAACTAAGTCTCATCCCCAGGAAATCATTCATCCTGTAGCCACCAGGTCATACAATGAGACACATCCCTTCCATTACCTGTCTTTGTAAACCTCTTCCCTCCCTCTTATACCCTTTCTTTTTTTCTTCTTTTTTCCTTTCTTTCCTCTTTCTTTTTCTTTTTGCTAGTAACAGTCTGCCTTCTTCTTTCATGTCATCTTTTTAAGATGATAGATATTAGAAAAAACATATGATGCTTAGCTGACTCTGGCTTAATGATTTCCATTTCCATCAATTTTCCTATAAATGATGTAATTTTGTTCTTCTTTTTGGCTAAATAATATTCTATTCTGTACATGTATCTCAATTGTTTTATCCATTTACACACAGATGGGTGCCTAGGATGGTTCCATGTGTTGGTTATTGTGAATTGTGCCACATAACATGAATATGTAGGCGACTTTGATTCCTTCAGGTATACCTGTATTAGGGTTCTGTAGGACAGAATCAATAGTAAATAGATGCATAATTATGCAAGGGGATTTACTAGGTAGGCTTACAGAATCAGAGGTGGAAGAGTTCACAATACTGGTTGTGAGATCAGAGCTAGAAGAATCAACCATAGTCGTCTGGGTACTGGACACCAGAGGATGAAACCACAGAATGAGAGACGAAGGATGCAGCACAGTCCAAGGATAAAGACCTGGGAGTTTACTGTGGAGTCACTGGTGCAAGTCTGTGTTGGAAGCTGAAGAAACTGGACACCGATGTCCAAGATGATGGTGAAGACTGGAGCTTTTCCAAGAATGTGAACACTTCTTTTTTTCTCTCTTTATTCCATCTAGGCTACAAGCCCTTTGGTTGGTGCCATCCACATCTGGGTGGGTCTTCTTCTCTTAGTTGGCTGGCATACATGTCAATCATCCACAGACACATCCACAACTGTGTTTTACTAATCTGCTAGTTGTTTCTCAATACAATCAAGTTGACACCTTATGATTAATGGTCACAATCCACTCCTTGTCAACTTCAAAACCAGATGCATCTCCTTAAACAGCACTTAATCTCTAAATACAATAGCAAGCTCATAATTATACCTAACATGATACTGTTCTGCATACAAGTGGAAATGTACTCATTTCCTTCCCAGAATAGGAAGCATAATTTTTTGTGGGGGTTATGCTTACTCTTATCCTGATGTTCTGTAACTTAAATATTATAACGTATATTTATAATTCATAAGTATCAATATTAATCAATATTATGTTACAAAGAAAAAAGACAAAGATCTGCTTAAAATATGTGTATACAGCACAAATTAACAAAATAGGAAAAAAATACTCATGACAATTACAATCTTCATTTCTATAACTGGTCACACGTTCATAGCTGTATTTGTAACCACCTTCTTCTACTACCTATTCTGAACCCTCTTGGCCTTAAATAAACACCTTCATGTCATGAATCTTTACCTAGTGGGGTGGCCCATAGCTTCATTCCTGAACATTACAGGTGATTTGTTATCCTGTCCAGATTGAGTGTTTATAGTTTCCCATTGACCTTCATAACAGGGCGTGGTAATTCTAGGAAACACCATAAGGAGCATTCCAAACGTATTCTTTCTTACCTCCATTGTGCAGTAATTGTCTAATTTCCTTCTGGTAGTCTGGATCAATCACCCCCACCAAGACCATGATTCCCTTTTTAGTTTGTTGACTCAGAGGCATGAGACCAAAATGACCAGGGAGAAGTCTTAACTTCCAGTTCAATCGAGTAATTATTTTGCCGCCTGGTACAAGCCTTCTCCACTCTGGAACTATGACTTCTGGGCCAGCAGGGCATAATGTCATAGGAACAGGAAGCAAAAATGTTACAAAAATGATGAGTGGTAACATTCTCCTTGAGTTCTGGACTCATGAATCCTGGGAAACCCATACTATATAATGGATGCTGATTCAAAGCCTATACAACTTTCTGAAGAACCTTGCCTCAACCCTACAAAATAGTGTCATCTAGCTGGTGCTGTAACTATAAAAGGCCATTCCAGTGCTCTGTCAATCCAGCTGCCTCTGGATGGTGAGGAACATGGTAAGACCAGTGAATTCCATGAGGATGATCTCACTGCCTCATTTCTTTGGCCATGAAATGTATTCCTTGTTCAGAAGCAAGGCTGTGTGGAATACTATCGCAGTGGGTGAAGCATTCTATAAATCTAAAGATGGTAGTTTTGGTAGAAGCATTACATGCAGGGAAGCAAATCCATACCTGGATAAGTCTCTATGCCAGTAAGGACAAAGCACTACCCTTTCCATGATGGAAGCAGTCCAGTTAAATCAACCTGTCAGTAGATGGCAGGATGATCACCCTCCCAGGAATGATGCTATATCTGGGACTTATTGTTGGTCTCTGCTACAGGCAGACTGGGCATTCAGTAATGGTTGTAGCCAGATCAGCCTTGGTGAGTGGGAGTTCATATTGCTGAGTCCATGCATAATCCCCATCCCTGCCACCATGATCATATTTTTACAAGCCATTAGAGCCACAGTATGAGTAAAGAGATTGATTACTATCCCTAGAATGGAGGCCACCCTATCCACTTAATTATTAAAGTCCTCTCCTGCTGAGGTCATCTTTGGTGAGCATTTACATGGGACACAAATATTTTCACATTCTTCACCCATGTGGAGAAATCTACCAACATACATCTTCCCCAAATGTCCTTATCACCAGTTTTCCAATCATGTTCCTTACAACTCCCTGACCATCCAGCCAGATCATTGGCAACAGCCCATGAATTGGTGTATAGTTCCACGTCTGGCCATTTTTCCTTCCAAGCAAAATATACAATCAGGTGCATTGCCCAAAGTTCTGCCCACCAGTGAAAGTTTCCCTTTGCCACTGTCTTTCGGGGATGTCCTAGAAAGGGGCTGAGTGCTACAGCTGTCCACTTTCAGGTAGTACCTCCATAATGTGCAAAACCATCTGTAAACCAGCCTAGTCTTCTCTTCCTCCATCAACTGATCTTAAGCTATATCCCATGAGGCCATAGATGCACTCTGGGGAACAGAAGGCAGTGTAGCAAGAGTAGGAACCCTGGGCATTTGGGCCACTTCTTATGTAACTTGGGCCTGCTGGGGCCTGATCACATATGCACTACCTCCATTTGATGATTAACTGTTGCTGTGCATGTTCAATTTCTTACTGGGTGAGTCAGATAGCACCTAGTTTATGATGAGCAGCTTGGGTTACATGGTATCCTGGTGTCCCATGGTTTAATGTTTCCACTAAGGCCCAGAACAGGCCAGGTGCTGTTTCTCAAAGAGGCATTAGTTTAGTTAGTTTTCTGTAGATGATGATTTGGAGCATTGCTCAAAAGCCCTAAAGAGCTCTGCTGCAATTCACCTATCAGGGCCTGATAGAGACTCCAAAGAGCGACCTACCTGCCACTGATACTTCAAGTACCACTGGATCTGCTGGATCATTTGGCCCAGGTGGCTCTGCAACCTGAAAAACAGCCTCTACTGTTCCTGAGCCTTCTCTTGTTCTGGGCCCCACTCAAAACTTACAGCTTTCTGAGTCACTTGATAAATGGTTTATGAGGCACTGTGCCTCTTTCTTGATTGTAGGAGGGGACAGATGCAATAATTTATCCTTCACTTTGGAAAGGGTATCTTTGCATGCCTCGTACCACTGGCCTCCTAGAAATCTCACCAAGGAAGAAGCCTCTTACATTTTACTTGGATTTGTTTTCTGTCTTCTGACATGCAAATGCTTTACAACAAGTCCAGAGTGGTTATTCCTTCTCGTTCAGTATGTTCAATCAGTTTATGACCAGTGCAGTGGGCCAGTGTGAAACCTTGTGAAAGAGAAAGATGATCATGATCTCTGAAAACTAACCTGTGACACAGGGCTGGAGAGTTGTACCCCTGATGTGTACTGCTGGCCTTATCAACTGAAAGAAAATTGCTTCTGGGGGTCCTTATGGATATTATGGAGAAAAGGCATTTGCTAAATCAATAGCTGCATATCAGGAGATATTTAATCTGATTGAGTGAAGAAACCACCTCTGATATAGCAGCAGCAATGGAAATCACCATTTGATTAAGCATACATTAGTCTACCATCATTCTACAAGATCCATTTGCTTCACAGGGGCTGGGGATTTAGCTCAGTGGCACAGCACCTGCTGGGCAAGCACGAGGTCGTGAGTTCAATTCCCAGTACCAGAAAAAAAAATCTGCTTCTGCACAGCCTGAATAGGAGAGTTAAATGGGGTTGTGCTGGGGACCACTACCCTTGAACCTTTCAAGTCTTCAATGACAGTAATCTCTGCAATCCCTCCAGGTATGCAATGTGCTTGTGATTTACTAATTTCCCAGATAGGGGCAACTTCAGTGGCTTCCATTTAGCCTTTCCCTCCATAATGACCCTCACACCACAGGTTCAGAACCAATTTGAGGATTCTGTCAAACACTGAGTATATCTGTCCCAATTATGCATTCCACAACAGGATGGATGTGGGGACCTACTGGACCCACTATGAATCAGATCTTGACCAAAACTCCATTAGTTAGCTGGCCTCACAATGATATTTTGGACCTCCTGAAGTCAGTGTTACTTTAGAACGATTGTCTAGTAATCCCCAAAATGTCTGATCATTTCCTTCCCCAATTTATAGTTACCCAGGTAAAAGGCTATAGATCATTTTGGGGAAGGATGGGGGGAAAGTTGACAGTATAACTGTTGGCAGTGCACCAGGCTCCTTCCTCAAGGGGACATGGCCTTCCCTTCACTCAAGGGGTTAGGGTGTATAAACAGCTGTGAACTCCTTGAGGCCTGTGACTGTCTATTGCTGTGATTTAAGGTGGATTTTCATTCATTTGCCCTTAAATTTTCTGCTTAGATAAATTCAATAAAAGTTTAGTAGGTGTCCTAGCTATTTCAATCCTGGGAACACCATGATGAGTTAGCCAACACCATAGGTCCACATGTGTCAGACCATTTTGACAATTGCTTTGCTTCTGCTGTCCATTATGGGAAGTATGCCCCCCTTCCTTTGGCTGCTGAGTGTTTCACTTAGCCCCTGCCACTCTGGGATCCAATTATACCCCTTGACTTTAAGTTTCCCAGTTGAATGTCTGATTCCCCACTGTAAGGTCTGCCACACAGAGAAGAGCCACACAGAGCTCTTCAAGGATGCTTGTGCTCCTCCCAAAGACCTGCTTCTGAAAACTATTAATGAAGGGTACATTTAGTGCACCTTTCCAATGTGAAGTGCTTGAGCATTCCCATTTCCCTGAGGCCTTGAATACCCTCTTCAGCAATAAACCAAGGACTATCAGGCATCTCCAGCTCATTCACACTGGGCCATCTTTTGATGCACATTTCAGCCAACCAACCAGACTATTAGCACCTTTCTGAACTTCACAAGCTGTGACATTGAATCTAGAATCTCTATTACATGGGCATAGATCAAGAATTTCAGCCTGATCCAAGTTTGTGTTTCTTTCACCATCACTCCACACTCTTATAAATCCATCCCTGTGCCTGTTCCTCAGACCTCTGCTTGCAATAATTGGAAAATTCAAGAAGTTTTTTGGGACTGTATTGTACTTCCACATGGCTCACGTTGTGTACCTCACTTGGAAGAGCTTTCTGTGATTTGAGGCTGGTTATGAGTCTGCAGGCAAAAGTGCTGAGTGGGTCCTGAGGAGCATTACTGCACCAGGGAAGGTCATCCTATTTCCACAGACCAACACAGGATTCCTTCATTAAGGAATCTCCATACCGATTTCAGTGGTAGCTATATTAGTCTACAGTCTCACCAGTGGAGAGGAGTCCCTTTTCCCGACATCCTCATCAGTATTTATTGTTTTTTTCTATTCTTATGACAGCCATTCTGACAACAGCTATTCTGACTGGGGTAGGATAGCATCTCAGTGTAATTTTGATTTATATTTCCCTTATGGCTAAACATGAACATTTTTTTCACATACTTATTAAATACTTATAGTTTTTCTTTTGGGAAGCATCTATTCAATTCATTTGTTCATTTGTTGATTGGGGTGTGTGTGTGTGTGTGTGTGTGTGTGGTGTCATGTTAGATTGTTTGAGTTTTTATATATTCTAGCTATTAATCCTCTATCTCAAAATTAGCAGGCCAAGAGTCTTTCCATACTCTGGGCTGTCTCATCACACTTATTGCATCCTTTGCTGTCCAGAAGCTTTATACTTTTATGTAATCCCATTTGTTGAATCTTGCTATTGTTTCCTGTGCTGTTGGAGCCCCATTTGTACAGTTTTTGCCAGTCTTTCCCCCAGATTTTCTTCTAGCAGTTTCAAAGCTTTGGGTGCTTGGATCCAAGTCTTGAGTCCATTTTTATTTTTGTACCAGGTGAAACATGGGGATCAAGCTTTAATCTTCTCTAAGTGGATACCAAATTTCCTCAGCCCCATTTGTTAAAGAGCCCGTCTTTTTTCTCCACAGTATGTTTTGAGGCATTTTGTTGATAATCAGATGTCTGTAGTCACATGGGTTTATGTGTTCTCTATTCTATTTCACTCATCTACATGTCTATTTTTGTGCCAGTATCATACTAGTTCTTACTAAGGCTTTGTAGTATATTTTCAAATGTGATATTATGATACTTTAAGGAATGCTGTTTTGTTCAAGACTGGTTTTGGCTATTTTGGGTCCATATAAATTTCAAGATTCTTTCCATATTGTAAAAAAAAATGGTGTTAGGGTTTTGATGGAGACTACATTGAATCTACAGATCACTTTTGATAATACATCCACTTTGACATATGAACTCTGGTGACACCTGAATGTAAATCCTTCTTGTAGTGTCTTCTTTAATCTCTTCACTGTTCCATAATTTTCACTGTAAAAATATTTTATTTCCTTGGTTAGGTGGATGACTCGGTATTTCTTTTTTGAAGCTACTGTGAATGGAATTGCTTTCCTGATTTCTCAATTAATTCATTATTGCCATATAGAAAAGTTGTTGATTTTTTAATGTGGATTTTTTAGCATGCTACTTTGCTGAATTTGTTTTCAAATTGAAAAGTCTTTTGCTGGAGTCTTAGGGCCTCGAAGTATAGGATCATATTATCTAAGAAGAGGGATAATTTGATTTCATCCTTTTATATTTGTATCTTTTTTATTTGTTTCACTTGCTCAATTGTTCTGGCTAAAATTTCAAGTACTATGCAGTAAATACACTTTCCATGGATGGTTCCCTGTACCCCCAACCAGGCTCATCACATGGGGCTGCTGCCCAATCCCATCAGCACCATTGTGGTCCTGGTTCTCATCCTCAGAGACAGGCACTGAGGAGGGGGTGAGCCAGATGCTGCTGTGTGGACAGCCCAGCCTCACACTCAGCCCTGCTGAGAGAAGAAGCCCACTCCACCAAGCTCCTGGAGAATTAGGGGTTTAACACTTCCCTAATTTGCAGACCAAGGGAAAGGTGGCCACCAGCCAGGCCTGTCCTCTCCTTGTCGATAATTTTTGATTATGGACAAATCAAAACCTCAAACCCTGCAGAATCCACAGGAACAGAGTTTGGCTGAGTGAGGGCAAGGGTGGAGTGGTGTGAAAAATATTGTCACCAGAGAGTGAAGGGGCTCCTTACCAATGACATTCTTGACACCAAGCTTGAATCTGCAAATGATCTGGTCCAACCTCTGTGCATTATGGAAGCCATAGCCTTTCAAGACCACTTGCTTGGCTCCTGCAGAGACAACATTCAAAGGTGTGAGGGGGGGCTGGGGATTTAGCTCAGCGGCAAAAGCGCCTGCCTGGCAAGCGCAAGGTCATGAGTTCGGTTCCCGGTACCGGAGAAAAACCAAAAAAAAAAAAAAAAAAAAAAAAACAAAGGTGTGAGGGAGGGAGCTGGGCGCTGCCTTCACTCTGAGCCAGTGTCTACATATTTGCCCCCAGGGCAACTCCCAGGAGCCCTGTGAGGCAGCAGCTGTGTCTGAACAAAATCTGTGGGTCCCCCAGGACAAACTCACTTCTGACATCATCAAAGTTCCTGGAGGGTGTAGCTGAGCCAGTCTTGCACACATGAGAGCCTGCCTCCCACCATCCCTGACCAACAAGTTCATTGAATGCACCCCGCTTCCAGAGACCAGCTCAGCCACAGCCTTCCCACCCAGAATTCCCATGATTCCCACTGTGTCCTTGGAACAGGGCCCCTGACCTTACACAGGATTCCTCCAGGTCTTATGGCCCCAAGTCTCAGCTTCTTGGCCTGAGAGCAGCCTCCTGGCTCAGGCCTGGAGGATTCGCCCCAGGTCAGCTGGCCCAGGATCTTGATCTACAGAAGCCTCTCCCTCAGCCCTTGTGATGCTGACCTGAGGACCTGGCCTATTCTGTGTCGCCTGAGGCCAAGGCTCCTGCCTCGGCTTCCCCCCAAGTCCCTGTCACTCTGTGTGAGGCAGATCCGCACAGGATGCTCAGCAGTGTAGCAGGTCAGCAGTGGAGCTGGTGTCTGGAGGCACCTGTCACCTCAGCTCTGAGGCGAGGAGGAAGCAGTCACAGCTGCCATCCTCACCTGGGATTTGCCTGGCTGCCTGTGTGTCGGGACACATCATGGACGTGCAGAGGTCGGGAGGGCTGCGCAGCTGAGCTGCTTCACACCAGAAACAGGAAAAAGCCCAGAGCAGGGTCCACAACCTACCTCCACCCCAGTCTTCCGTGTGGCCCACAGATTAGTGTCCTCAGTGTACCGCGGCAGGGACCTGGGCTGGACTGAGGGTATCCTTGTAACTTCCAGCCCTTGGAGACAGGTATTGCCATTTCCCCACTCAAGTGAGGTGTGTGCTGGGTGTCATAGTGCACACTTTTGCCAGTCATGGAGGTTCACGCTTTGCCTGACCTCATGCTGGATGATGAAATGTGTGCCATTACTTTCCTTCTCCAGTGCCATGACTGCCTTGCTTTCCCCTCCATCTTGGGGATGGACAAATTCCATAGGTATTTTAAATCCCCAATCAGCTTTCCACTCTGGAGTGAGCCCTGAGTTGCCCTTGACATTCATGTTCAGCTCCCTTATCTGAACAAAACAATATGAAATGCTCCAATTTGAGCACTGACACCTAATTATACCTCCTCAAACCATACTGAATCTCCATATAAACACAAAGACAAGATCATAAATCTGCCTAACATGATATAATTATCCTGTATAGAACCAAAAATACTTGTTCTCCAAAGTTTCAACAGTGCTAGCACTGCTCAAAAGCCTCAGTAAAAAGTCTATACATCACACATCACACACACCACACACCCCCAGACAACACACAACACACAGTACTTGCGCACACAACTCCCTGCACCCCACAGCTGTTGCCCCTCCACTCTCACCAGTACACAGAGGGGAAGGCTTCACAGCTCTGAGTTCCAGACAGGCCCTTGTTGCAATCTGAAATGGAGAAGGAGAAAAAGGAAGAGCATGAGCCTCAGGTCCTGGAGAGACGCCACTACTCTGCTCATACCCGCCCACTCACGCACGTAGTCAACTTTATCACGCAGCTCACTGAGTGGCCCTCTTATCCTGAACACATGTTCTGGGCTGTCTGCAAATGAAGCCACCTACGAGAAAGAGGAGCAGGTTACAGTACATTGAGTAGGGACTAGAGGATGCACCAGGGCACCAGAGCCAAGGGACAGTGGAGAACCAGGCACTCAAGGAGGGGTACTAGCTTCTGCTTGCAGCCCAGGCTCAGGATGGGGAAAGCTCTGCCATCTGTCCTGTGGGGAACTGTGTACTGAAACCTCTTGGTCTTGCTTCTCTGTATCCACCTCTTTTTTGCTCATGTCTTCTTGAGTCCTGGGGAGCCATATTGGAGACCTGTCCTCAGCAAGGCTACAGAGAGGACTCTAGTCACCTGGAATGGATTAGCTCTGTCAACACCAATGCTGTATATGTATGCTCCCATACGCCGAGCCTTGTCAACCTAAGGAAAAGACCTAGGTGAGTCTAAGCCCTCAAAAGGCACATAATGGAGCAGAGGACAATTAGGACAAATTCACTCACCTCCGCCGTAACCTCATTAAATACATCCGGGGCCATTGGTCCACTGAGCAAAGTGATGATCATGCTAGACACCTTAGTGCCTGCCAGAGAAGAAAAAGGGGCTGGTGGGCAAGGTCCAGGAATGACCAGTCAGGGACCCAGGACCACCACAGGCTGACAGGGCCAGCACTGCTCAGGGAAAATGAGTCGGTTGCTCCTCATATCTCAGGCTCCTGGGACAGGCACCCAGACCCCAGCACCCACCACCCAGAGACCCCAGAATGATAACGGGACCTCACCCTGGCCCATTTTACAAATGAGAAGACTGAGATTCAGGGCCCATCCTACTGGATGACCTAAGCCCTCACTGACCCCCAGAATGTACACCTTCTGCCAAGGGCAGCCCAGCCACACACCCATGAATCCCAGCCCACCTGCAGAGGAAGGAGGAAGTGACACTAGTGCATGCTGCAGGCACAGTGTGCGGGCTCCCTCTTGTGACAGTGGCCCAGTTGTTGGACAGGGAACCACATTCCTCCCAGCACTGTCTCCACCCACCCCCACCACTCCTGCCCAGACCTGTCAGCCCACAGTGCAGAGGGACATCTGTCCAGGGCCACACAGCCATTTCTGTGGTGGGAGATCAAGGGTCAGGAGCAAGTGGGTGACAGAAGATGGGAACGAGAAAGGGAAGAAGGTCTGGCTCTGGGGACAGTATGGGCTCCTCACACTGGTCCTCAGGCTGCTCAGGTCCTGGACTTTCTCCTTCTGTGCACAGAGCCCTATGCGGGTCCATGAGCTCAGAGTGATCAAGTCTTCTCCGTGGACCCCCTGGGCCTCCTGTCCTGTGAGAACCGTGCTGGCAGGCACTGTGCCCACCGCACAGGGCAGAAAGGTACAGGGGGGCAATGGGCTCCCAGAGCCGGGCTGGGGAGCCATGGGTCTGCACACAGGGCTCCCTGGAGGGCAGCTGCAGGAGCCAGCTGAGGAGGAAGGCAGGTGCTCACCTCCAGAGTTGGCTCTTGTGATCTGAGCATTTGCCTGCAGAGAAAAAAAGACACATGGGGAGAGGAGTGAGATGATGCAGTGAAACTCTCAGCTGTGTGCCCCCATCAAGTTGAGGCTGTTAAGCATCCAAACCTGCTTAAGTCCTTCGTGCAAGTATGTTTCTCCTGAAGCTGTAGAATATGGAAGTTGGCCAAGTTGATAAGTGATTGTTATTCTGAAGAAAATTGAAAAACAGTTGAAGGTGGAGAAGGGTTTAAAAAATATCTGATTTTGACAGCACAGAGGAAGCAGCACTCCCAGAGGGGTCTGAGATACCCTCTAACATCAGTGAACATGGAGCTACATAATGCTGTAGAATTGCCAAACACCAGAATACACCTTGAATGGATAGCAGCCAGGTGAAGTACAAAAAATAGGAGAGCCAGAGTAAAATGCAAGTTTAAGCCAAGTTTAAGCTTGTGTGGATACCCAGTGCAGGTCTAGAGATGTTATTGTTCACAGCATGGTGGAGCTATACATGTTCCCTGCTGGGACACAGCTGAGAATCTGTGATAATGATAGCAAACAGATCCCGATCACCAGTGAGTATCCCAGCCCACGTCCAGAGAATCAGTCACCCCATACAATGCACAAAACTTTCCAGGAAAAATAAGGCAGGAATGTGGCTGGCCCTGGATAATCATCTCAGACTCCACCGTCTCCCAGCCCCAGGGATCTCCATGGTTGCCAGGACACAGCCTGGAATCTGTGATAATGACAGCAAAGAGATTCCTAGACCATGAGTGGGGAGGCAACCCAGGCCCAGAGATCTAGCTAACCTGCTCAACGCAAAAAGATAAGAAACAGAGGGATGAATATTGCTTGGCAGTCAGGCCAGACACCATTGCCCACACTGCAGTCAGAGCTACTTGATTCCTGCTCTCTGGATTGGATCTGGGCACTGGCAGATACCGAACAATAAATTCAGAGGTCTTCGACAATTAGGACCTGAGGGACTAGAGTGGAGAACCAGCCTGTACTAACTGAGGAGGCCTTCTTTCTGGTCCCACAGGAAACAGAGGGCTAAGCAAACAGAGAAAAGGGAGCTAGGAGCTCTGGGACAGTATGAGGAGGACATGATGGAGCCACCTGCAAGCTCCTGGGTGGCAGAGATCCTGGGCTGGAATTAGCAAAGGGAGCAGAGTAAATGCCCCACCAAGGAGAAATTAGAGGTTCCAAAGTACAGTGGGCTAGAGACAGCAGGTCTGGGCTTGGGCAGAGCTTGACTCTCCCTCCAAACTTGCCTGTGTCAGCATATGAGACAGACTTAGCCACCTGTTTGTACCCTCAAACTCCTTCCTTTCCAAAGTGTGGGTGTGGAGCTAAGCATGCATGCAACTGTGCACGGTTGTGGGTTCCTGTTTAATTCACAGAGATCTACACTCACCTATTGGAGTCTCCCTTACCAACAATCGTTTCTTGAGTCTTCCAACATTGGGTTTTGCAGGTGAAGACATGTGATAGAGCCTTTCAGATTTTTCACTTACATCTATTTCTCTTCTCTTCCTTCTCTCCACCCCCTTATATAATTTCTCAAAACTCTTTTCTCTTACTCTCCTATTCAGGCACAAAATAATGCCATCAAAACCCATCTTTCCTCTTTTTTGTTTTCATTTTGTGTTACCTTATTTCATTTTATTTCTTTTCCCTGTTCTCCTGGTTCCTAGCCTACTCTTTATCACTACTATGCCTTTACCTTCTCAGAGTATTCAAAGAGTTGAAAATCTTTCAAACAAGTTTAAATTAAGTGTTGATACAGAATTCGTTCTCTGGACACTGTTATTGCTGTCAGTTCTCTCCTTACAGAGCAATCATAGGAAATAACCCAGCACTTCAAACAGGTGGAGTAGATGCCTTCACGCTAAATCACATTCAAGTCAGGAGCATCTCACAGGCAGAAACGCACTTACTACAGAGGTCTGTATTATGATGCACAGCAGTCAAGTACTAAGCTATGATGAACGTTCAAATTCTTCAAACAAAGGTAACTGTTATGTATCACAAGCAGGTTGTTATGGTTTATGTCTGTGTGTCCCTCCAAAGCCTCATGTGGCCATGGGGCAGGCTTTCAGAGTTTAAATATGGGTGTGAGAGCTGCATCTGCCCTGGGGTGGACAGTTTGCACATGTAAGGGAAAGGAAAAGAGTGCTTGAGGCCAATTTCTCCCCAATTCCGCCCTGGTGTGTGGTTGTTGCTTTTGCTGTGTTCTGCCACCCTGAGCTGTAGCTCTCTGCCATGTGCCACTCTGCCTTGTAATCTGCCAAGTCTGGACTGAAACCTCCACAAACTGTAAGAGAAATAAACCTTTCCTTCCTTCATTTTGGGCGTCAGGTATTTTGTCCCAGCAATGAGAGAAAAGTAACCAAGACACAGGTGATACATGATATGTACCAGGCAGGCAGGGAAGAATGCCAGGCAAGTGATCCAGTGCCACTACTGTGCAAGGTTCTCTGATAGGAAGCTTGTAGCCTTCTCTGTACCCAACCTGACAGGCCCTCTGGAAGGTGCGGTGGCTGATAGCAGGTCCCACAGGAATGCCTGGTGTTCTCTGAGCTCATCCTGTCTCTAGCACCCCACACTCAGCGCCCCCTACAGCCCTGTGGGGACTTCCTGGTGAGGATGGGACTCAGGGACATGCAGCTTGAGTCCAGGGCTCCAAGGGAAACTGCATGCCCCGATGTTGACCAGAAGCTGAGGACGCCCTGGCTGAGGCTCTATCCTCCAGCAAAGAAGGCTGGGTCCCACAGGTCACCAGCTCAGGCTGCCCTATGCTGTCCCCACTGCACAGACCCTGAGCTGGCCCTCCTTTAGCCACCAAGGGAAGGAACCAGGCTGCTTCCTGAGCAGTGCAGGCCAAGGACCTCAGTGCTCCTGACACTGAAGGCCCGAGGTGGGGATGCCACTGTCAGGGGCTGTTAGAGAGACAGAGCCAATTGGGGCAGGCAGCCCTGGCTCTGGCTCTGGTGGCAGCGCTGGGACAGGAAGCAGGGCTAGGCTCAGGCTGATCTACTGTGACAGGCTGAGCTTGCACAGCAAGGACACCCAGAGTGAGGACCCTCAGGGCACCTTCCTCTTGGGGTACAGACCCTGCTGTGGGCCCCGCTCTGAGGGCCCTAGACATGTCCCTGCCTATCGCCGCCTAGGAGGAGAAGCCATGGCTAGCCCTTCCCAGGGAGGCCCAGACCATCCTGCCCAGCCCAGCCCTGCCCTGTGCCCAGCCTAGCCAATCACTCGACACTGCTCCATCCCTCAAGCCCATGCTGGTGTCCCAGTCCCCAGCACAGCACACACCAGCCCAGGCCTCCCCTGTGCCCACAGAGCCAGCCCCTCTCTGCTCCTCCTGCCAGCTGTGCTCCGGGCTGACCTGTGCATGGCCCTGGAGCCCCCACCCTCCCACCCTGGGATCAGGTTTGTCCTGCTTCACTCTGCCCCTGGCTTCCCTCCAGGCCTCCATAGCAGCTTCCACACAATTCTAGGGACCCACCTAGTCCTAAAGTCCTCCACCTCGCTGTGTTCCTCCTCCTCAGGCAATGCATCCAAAGCTACGCTTCACCCCAGATGGTCAGGGCTCCCTAGCTCTCCTTTGGGTCTCTGGGCACACTGAGCCACCTCCTGCTGAGAGCTTGCTTCTCAGACCTCCTTGTTGTACCCAGACCAGCCCAGGGTCAGAATCTCAGTATCAAACTGGGGGTTACCTTGCTCATAGCCACCAGGGGACTCCACCACCCTACACAAAACTACTAGCCCTTCCCTGCCCCTAGCCCTTGCTCTCCCTGCCCCTGGTCCTGGGCAGAGAGCGAACTGCACAGCAGGCCTCACACAGGCCAGGGTGCCTGGACCCCACAGGTCCTCACAGCCAGCCCAGGGAAGAACTGGCAGAGGCTGGGCAGAGACGGGGACTTCCGGATGGCAGGGTCTGTAGATTCCAGTGCAGTAGGGGTGCGGGGGCCAGGCATCAGGCTGGAGGTCAGTGTGGGTTCCCAGGGGTCCTGACCAGCCCACCCCATGCCCTGATGGCTCCCCACAGAGCTGGCCATGGAGCCCTCAAATCCCTGCAGCTCCCTCTGGCCTGGTCCCCAGCCCTCCTGGGGTCACAGCCACACCTACCTGTCTCCGGTAAGCGGCATTTTGACTGAGGATCTTGTGGAGAAGACAATGAAGGACATGCGCAGTTTGGGGCTGGGAGGAAGCACAGCCATGAGAAGCAACACCCTCAACCCAGGACACAAGGTCCCTGTGCCCCCCCCCCGTGCCCACAGCAGTTCAGAAGTGGAGTCAGACCTCAGTGAGGGGTGCTATAGCCTATGGAGGTGCAGGGAGAGTCAGGGCAGCCTCTGAGAGTTGGGGTGCCTCTGCTCCAGCACCCCGACATAGACTCAAATGCATATATCCAAATACACACACACACACACACATATACACACACACTGATCACAGGAGACACTCTCTGCTCTGTTCCACAAGGGCCTCCCTCCAACAGGCCTATCTTCTGTGGTCACCTTTCTGTTCTCACCCTTTCCCCTTTATCCCCATTTCCTCTTCCCTCCTTCCAGCTCAGGAAATCCCTCTCCTTCTGGGCACTATTCACAGCACCTCTCCTTCCTGTCCCTGACCACTGCCCTCAGCTCAGGACCTCTCACCCCGAGCAAGGTGGCTGCAGCTTCTCTAGCTGAGATGCCCCCTGCTCCTGCTCTCGTTCCAACCTCTGGTCACCCACAGTTGCCAGGTTTTCTTTTCCCTGGAGTATAACCTTGACCACATCATGCCCCTGCCCAGGACCCCACCAAGGCTCCCTGTGGCTCACAGGAGGAAGCTCAACCCCTCCTCAGCCTGGCACAGGAAATCCTTGTGGCACTGGCCCCAAGCAGCTTAGGAGGATTTGTCTCCAGCCCTCCTGAATTACCCTCACTCCTCAGTCTACCCAGCCCACCCACTAGGGGTCACCCTGAGGACTGAGTGACCTTGACTTTTCTCCATCCTTCAAGGTCAAGTTCACTTCCCGCACCTTCTGGGAAGCTGCCCAGAATGACTTCCCTCTAGGAACCCTTGCTTTCCTCTCTAATCTTCCTGGCATGTTCTCTGTCCCTTTCCTTTGGCCTTGAGCACCCCATGTCCAGGCATCAGTACATAGTCACTCGTCTGCCTATTCTGACTTCCTTCCCAACCTGGTAGTTCTGGAGCACAGGTTGTACCCCTGCAGGTGCTCAGCCTCCCTGCAGGTGCTCAGGCAAGGCAGCCACACTGTTGAGACCCAGGGGCCAGTGCACTCTGTCCCATGTCCTGCCCAGTCACTCTGGGCTCTGTGCCTCCACTCAAGGGACTCCACCAAATCTAATGGACATGTAGGGAGGCTGCAGCATAGGGTTGCGTACTTTACGTATTTCTCCACCAGATCTCCCCAAGATATGCATAGTTCCTTCCAGTCTGACATGGCTTTTGATCTGAAAAGAAAAGTGGCAGGACTCAGGGTATAAGGTGTTTCCATTAGAAGTGCACAGCCTCTGCCTTGTCCACCTCCCTAAAGGTACTTAACAAGCTACTCCCAACCCAATTCTGTCTATCACTGCAGAGATGGCTGTCGTCAGGGACTCACAAGCAGAAAATGACCAACCAGATCATCTGCAGGGATTGAGGAACCTCCCTGCACAAGGGACACATAGTGGCTGATCAGTGTGGCTGGTCACACTGGTCACCTTAGATGGAGACTGAGTGGACAGAAAATGGAGGAAGAGAATGCTTTTGGAAAGGTACCTGTGACTTCTGATTTTTCTTGGGCCCAGCTTGCCTTTTATCTTTCCTAGCTCCCTGTGGGTGGGTAGGGACCTTGACACCACAACTGTCAGAAGCCTTTAGTGCCACCACCAGGTCCAAAGGTGACCAGGCTTGGCCTGTGGTCACCCTGCTGGACTCCTGGGGTCCAAATGTCTGACCTTCCCCTAGAGTGTCTGCCCTGCACCCTTCCTCATGGCACTCATGGATTCTGATCACTCCTCACATTTCCTAGCACCATGGAGGCAGAGGGAGAAATTTCTATGGGAACCTGGGTCTTGGCAACAGCACTGCAGACTGTGTGACACCTCGGCTTTGTCATCTGCCTGCGGGCCCAGCCTCTGCAAGCCCAGGACTTTTCCAGCAGGCACTGCCAGGACAGGAGAACAGGCCAGCCACTGCTGTCCTGGTGCTAGCACCGTGGACCAATAGATACAGCTTCAGGTTCTTCCCCTCCCAACTCCTACATCCTGCTCCATCTTCTTCCACTCTGTCCTGGGATGGAGAGTGAGGAACAGGAGGCTTCCATCTGGTGGGAATAACACAGTTTTGCAGTGTAATTATGCATTTACTGTTTGGAGGTGTTCAGCTGTGACTGTGAGCAAGTGGCAGGAATAATAAGTGAACTTGAATACAGTACCATTAAAATTCTGAGTTTCAGAGAAATATGAAAAAGAAAGAAGTGATCAAAGTAGATTGGACCTGCAGAACACTACCAAGCAGACCAATAGAGAAAATGTAAGAATCCCAAAAGCAGATAACAGAGAAAAAGGAGTAGAAACATCCTTTGAAAGAATAGTACCCAAATGTGTCCCAAATTTCGTTAATGACACTAGGCTATGGATCTAACCTCAGTAATCAATAATGATGATACTACAAAGAAACCCACACCAAGATACATTATAATTAAATGGCTAGCAGGCAAAGACAAGGAGCATCTTCAGAGCAAGAAGGAAGAGACTCATCAGCTATAAGAAATCTCATCGGCCACGAATGAACCAGTTGGTTCTCTGTATCCATGGTGACTGCCTCTGCCTATTCAACCAAAGATAGACTGAAGATGTTTTTTAAATTGCATGTGCTAGCCAGGCACTTGGCAAGCCAAGGCAGGAGGATCGCTGTGGGTTCAAGGCCAGCCTCAGCTACAAAGTAAGTTCAAGGTCAGCCGGGATGCATAGTAAGTTCCTGTCTGTCTCAAAAAAAACACAAAAGAATAAATAAAAACAGAAACAAAAAATTAAAAAATTGCATGTACCCTGTACACATATAGATCCTTTTCTGTCATCATTTCCTACATAGTACAGTAAACAGCTATTTACACAGTATTAACATTGCATTGAAACAGAAAAGTATAGGCCGCCCTTTTTTCCTGTGATGGCAGGAGGGGCACACAGCCTGACCGAAAGTGGTCATGCCCCTCCCTCTCCTTTGCTTTCCTTTGCTCCCCTCCATCCCCTAGCAATGGACTGGGACAGCTTCCCTCAGTGTCCTCCTGGGTTACTTCACAGTCATGCTATCAACCTTCACAGGGGATGCTACCCCAGACACTGGCACCTTTCTGGAAAAGTAGCTAGGAAACTGGCCCTAACATGGCAAAAATAAGAGAGCTCTGTGCCCATTTTTAACATTTCCAATATCCACAAACCCCAGTGAGCTGTGTTTAGCACAGCCCCTTTGAAGCTCCTTAATTTTGGCCCTGGCTTTTTCACAGAGAGGTGAAGCAGCCTTCTCCCAATGTACCAGAGAAATGCAGCCATGACAGCTACAGTTGTCCTGGATGTCCTGCTCATACTCTGGGAAGATGTCTGCCATGAATTTGAATTAAGGCCTAAAACTGAATTTGTATCAGCCAGTAGGTCTTAAATCAGAAGGATTGAATTAGACCAGTTTGGAATAATATGCAGGCTTGAATTGGGACCAATCAGCAGGCTTGAACTTACACCAGCCACAAGCCTGCTGCTGCTATATAAGTAGCACTCAGCTCACACTATTCAAGGTGGCTGAGGAAGGTTTCTTCTTGGGTACTGATACCCCACTCTCTGGCTGTAGCACAGATCCTGTTCAAATATAGCCTTGCTTTCATGATCCTGTAAATATAGCCATGATTTCTCTTCCGGATAGTATAAGCTTCAAAAGTCCTGTAAATCTATCTGTGACCCGTTGTGTTAAAAAGAGGTAAATACTTCTGCCAGTTGGATCCAAAGAATTCCAGAGACAAGAAACCAATGGAGACCAGCAATCAACAAAATTGATGAGAGTCAAACAATTGTGTTCAACATTTAACAGGTATCAGCAGAGATTTAAAGTATAATGGTGAATGTGCATAATTTATATGCAAACAACACATATAAAGTAATATAAAGTTAGGGCTGGGGATTTAGCTCAGCGGCAAAAGCACCTGCCTGGCAAGCGCAAGGTCGTGAGTTCGGTTCCCGGTACCGGAGAAAAACCAAAAACAAAAACAAAACAAACAAACAAAAAATAATAATAATAATAATATAAAGTTTTAAGCATCTGCACACTTTACTATCCATAAGAATTCAGGAACAGATATTATCCCACAAATAAGCAGGAACAAATGTAGATGATTTCATGTAAGAAGTTTAGAGGAAAAAAAATCCATTAACTAAGAAGCAATATACTACCAAACTGTCTTTCCATAATATGAGAGAAATCAAGACATTTTCAGATAAACAAAGCCTAAGATACTCACTACCATTTGACCTTTCCTACAGGAAATATTAAGATCAGTCCCATTGCTCAAGTTATAAAGGAAGGCACTAGACAGTAACATGAAGCCACATGAATATAGAACGATTGCTGCTAAAAATAAATACATGAGCAAGTGTAAAAACAGTATTACAATCTTAGTTTGTATGCTTTGTTATTTTTCTAAAGCATTTAATAAATCAATATACAAAATGAAAATATGCCTACATTTTGGGACACAATGATATATATATATAATTCATGGCACTGACAACAGAAAGGGGAACAGAAACCTGTTCCAAAGTAGTTTGTTGTATGTAATTGAAGGCAAGTTGGTAGCAATTCAAGTTAGATTGTTATAGTTTTGGGATGTTACCTATAATCATCTTTTAATCATAAAATAAATGTATATAAATCAATCTATAAACAGGAAAATGAGAAGTATCAAAATGTCATTACAGAAAAATAAACCAAATAAAATTGAAGACATAAATGGAAAAAGAAGGAGCAAAAACCTAGAAAATATACAGGAGAAAAGTATAAAATGTCAAAAGTTAAGTGGTTTCCTATCAGTAATGACTTTAAAAGTAAACTGGCTAAACTATCAAATTCCAAAACATAGACTGGGGGTGTCCAACATTGCTGGCCATTACAGAAATGCAAATTAAAACCACACTGAGATTCCATCTTACTCTAGAAAAAATGACCATCGAGAAATCAAATAACAAACATTGGTGAGGCTGTGGGGAAAAGGGAACCTTTATACATCCTTGGTGGGAGTGTAAACTAATTTGTGGGGAGGGAGAAAGGAAAGCAAGGATAAGAAAAAATAGAAGGAAAAAATGTAAACAAGGCTTTTGTAAATAAAGAGAGAAGGAGGGGTTGAAGGGAAGGGAGGGGAACGTGAGAAAAAAGAAGCAAGATATATCATGTACAGACACAACCTCCCTATGATGAATGTTATCATTATATGTATCTAAAATGTACCTATAAAAGGGGCCAATCAAACTCACTGGAAGAATGATAGCCTCTTTAATAAATGGTGCTGGAAAAATTGGCTTAATACCTGCCAAAGACTGAAAATAGACCCAAGCCTATCACCATGCACCAAACTCAAGTCAAAATGGTTCACAGATCTCAATATTAAACCAGAAACACTAAATCTATTGGAAGAGAAAGTAGGTAAAAACCTCAAAGACATAGGGGTAGGCAGAGAGTTCATGAATAAAAACCAAATTGCACGTGAAACACTTGAAAGAATCAACAACTGGGATCTCATCCTACTGAAAAGTTTCTGCACATCTAAAGAAATCACCAGCAGAGTCAAAAGAAAACCCACAAACTTGGAAAAAGTTTTAGCTGATTGTCCCTCAGACAAAGGGCTTCTATCTAGAACATATAAAGAATTAAAACATTTCAGCCCCTCCAAATTCAAAGACCCAATCCAAAAATGGGCAGTGGAGATGAACACACATTTCTCAGACAAGGAGATACAAACGGCAAATAAATATATGAGAAAATGTTCAACATCATTAGTCATTCGAGAAATGCAAATTAAAACAACACTAAGATTCCACCTTACCCCAGTAAGAATGGCTAGCATTAAGAAATCAACCAATAACAAATGCTGGCGAGGATGTGGAGAAATAGGAACCCTTCTCCACTGCTGGTGGGAATGCAGACTGGTGAAACCACTGTGGAAATCAGTTTGGAGATTCCTCAGAAAACTAGGCCTAGAGGTCCCATTCAACCCAGCTATCCCCCTGCTTGGTATTTTCCCAGAAGATCTAAAAACATCATATCACAGTGATGTATGTGCACCCATGTTCATAGCAGCACAATTTGTAATTGCTAAAATGTGGAAGCAACCCAAATGTCCATCCACTGAGGATTGGATAAGAAAATTGTGGTACTTTTATATAATGGAATATTACTCAGCTGTAAAGAAAGATAAACTCGAGGCTTTTATAGGCAAATGGTCACAACTAGAGACCATACTCATAAGCGAAATAAATCAAACATACATGTGCAAGCACCGCATTGTTTCTCTAGTGTAAAGCCTGAAAGAGTTAATTTAATCTAGGAGATATGATAGATATTGAGAAGTGATAGGAAAGAACTCATAGGTAAAGGATAACTGGGATATGGGAAAAGAGAAGGGAAAGAAGGAGAAAGTTTGTATATATGTATATGCAGGATAGTTAACATGGGTGTTCTACTGTCCTGTATTTCCTTGCTGAAAGAAACTGTCAGTGAGGCATTGGTTGATTAGCTTTGTATGTCTATATGTGTTTTCATGAGAAACTACATTGAAGATATCAATATGTAATACAATAAGCATTGTTAATTCCCTACCACTCTGTTTGTAACTCTGTAATGTCTGTACTGATCCTATGCTATTTTGTAAAATGTTGTCTGTCTGTTAGTATTTTCCTCCTTTAATTTCTAAAATAAAAAAAAAGAAAACTGGGAAGTTAACTAATCTATGTAAAAATTAAACACTCAAATTACAGGTCATTGAAAAAAAATCATAGGAAACATTAGAAAACATCTAAGACACGTGAAAATGAAAACAGCCAAACAAACATGGCATATGGCAAAATTCATGCTGAGAGCAAAATTTACACCTGTAAACAAATACATCAAAAAAGAGGAAATATATCTTAAAATAGGTCTTAGAAGACTCACATTTTCTGATTTCAAAATATATTCTAAAGCTACAGCAATCAAAACAATGTGGAACTGGAATGAGGAGAGACACACGGACTACTATAGTTTGAGTCTGTGATGTCCCCTAAAGTACCTTGTGTTAAAGCTCTGTCCCTAGCCTGTGATGCTACTGGGAGGTGTTGAAATAGTCAAGAAGTAGGGACTAGTTAGAGGAAGTTGAGCTGCAGAGAGAAGCCCTTGAAGGTATTGATGAAATCTCAGCCTCAGTCTCATTCATTCTATTTCTGTCTCTCTCTGTGTCTCTCCCTCTCCCTCTCCCTCTCCCTCTCCCTCTCCAGCCACCACCAGGTGAACAGCTTTGCTCTACCAGTGTTCCCACCCTGATGTACTGATGTATCATCATAGACTCAAAAGGAAAGGCCCAACTCACCATGTACTGAAACTTTTGGAATCATAAGCCACAGGAAACTTTCTTCCTTAAAACTTGATTATTTCTGCTGTAAGACTGTTTCACTGTCTTACAGTGATGAAAACATGACACTTAAACCAACGAAGAAGACAGAGAGCCCAGAAATAAACCCGTACATACCTTTTATTTGACTGATTTTAAGCAAGTATGCCATACTCATTCAATGAAAGAAAGACAGTTTTTTCAACATACAGTGCTGTAAAGACGGGAATCACCACGCAAAAGAATGAAGTTGGGCCTTTCTGTTATACCATTATACAGTGTAATTCAAAATGCATGAAAGGCCAAAAAATGAAGGGACACAACTGTAACACATTCAGTGAAAAACACTTGAGAACAACTTCATGACAATGGATTTAGCAATGACATTTTTGTGTATAACACCAAAGCACAGGCATCAACAAACAAACAACAACAAAATATAGTTGGGTCTTCATCAGCATAACAACTTTTGGGCATCAAAGGATACTATTGAGAGTATGACCAGAATTCCCACTATATAGGAAGGATATTTTCAAATTATGCATGTTATTCATCTTTCAGTCACTATAAGAAAATAAAAGATAACTGACTTATAGAGTAAAGGTTTCTCTTGGCTCACAGTGTAGGAGGTTCTAGTCCATGGCCCATTGGTCCTAGTGCCTTTCAGCCTGTGGCAAGGTTACACACTTTGGCAACAGTGTGTGGCAGAATCCCCTCATCTGAGGGCCAGGAAGCAAACAGGGCACAAGAGAAGGGGTTGGGGTACTCCATTCCCTTTGAGGGCACACTAACAGTTTCATAAAGACCCCATTAGGCTGCTACACTTAACACATTCCCACTGACTTGTACCATGGTGGCACATGTATGACTGTCCCATAAAGTGACATGGGATAGTCCCATTGGATGGTACAAGTCACCTGATGGGACAATCACACATGTACCACAGGTGGTACAAGCTGCCCAGCAGTGAGACATATGAATTACAGCACCATCTTGAGCATGTTAAGGTGTCACCACATCAATACATCTCAACATTATCACACAGGGAACCAGGCTTTAACACACAGGCCTCTGAGAACATTCAAGATCCAATATAGGGTGTCTGTGGATTAGAATCCAGATGTCTCCCAAAGTCTTGTGTGTTCAGTGGCAGCTCTCGGGATATAAAGGAATCATCAGGGTTCTTTGCTCCTCTGTGGATAGACCATCATCATACTTCTGGCTATACCTACTCTGTTAGGAAGTGGGAACTTGCTGAATATTCCCCCTTTAGGATTCAGGAGACATAGAGACTGAATTCTTGTATCTCACAGCATGCTGGCCTGTTTCCCTTCTGGCAGAAGCTCACACTTGAAGCCACACAGAGCCAAGGCAAGAAAGCTACTCACCCATCAAAGACATAGTAGACATCAAAGGCACCATCGCAGTACTGCAGCACATCCTCATCTTCTTCATTCCAGATCTGCCTGCCCTCACGGTGGTGGGAGTACTGGGAATTATTGGCAGAATTCAGGGAAGAGGGGTGAAAGTGTCTCCAGCTTATTTTGGGGTAGAAGACGCTCAAAGATCTAAAGAGTGGTGCAAGAAGCAGCAGCAGGAGCAGCAGGAAGAGTGAAGAGTCTGGTACACGGGGACAGCACTCCTGCATTCTCCTGGCTGTCCCATGTGCCCTCTTGCACTACTAACCCTGTTCCAGAACCCAGAGTCCTGCTATTCAGCAGCCTCTGTCTGAAACCTCTCACCAGTGTCCACTGCGGTCCCCCAGCGAGTCCCTGCACATAGCACAGGACCTGGGGACACAGTTGCTCTGGGTGTCCTGCCACTACCTAACAACACAGCCCTTCCCCCACCTCTAGGCAAAACACTCTGGAGTTATGATGGACAAGAAGGTTGACATGGTGACTTTGTGACCTGCAGCTCTGCCCAGGGACCTACCTGTTGACAGCATCAGGTGGGGTCATAGGGTCTGGGAGGGTGAGGCCTCCTTGTCCCTCTTCCCAGCCCTCACAGGTGGTTCTCAAGGGGCCACCTAAGGAACCAGGGATGCCACTAACTCAGACAGCACAGTAGTGCTGGCTGAGATCAGGATGTCACCATGGGTGGGGGGTTCAGGAACTTGAAGGCAGAGTTGGACATGGGAGGCACTGTGTCCATTCTGATACTAGCCAGGCAATTGAGGAACTAGACAAGGTGAAGACTATGCCTTGTGATGAGGTCCCCCATGACACCCTTATCTCTGCTTCATTTCAGGCTTCCCAACCTTGGTGATCTGAAGCAAAGACCATTTTATTGTGCTCCAGTCTCCATGGCCAGACTCGCAGGAAGGCAGAGTGCAGAGGCCCCATAGTGGAAACACTGGGAAGGCTGGGGAGCAGGATGTGACTTGGGTGGCTGGGTTGCATGCAGTTATCTGGAGGCTTCCTCATCCTGGTGTGTGGCACCCAGGCTGGGTGACCCCAAAGCTGGGCTCTACTGGGCCTGTTTATGCCAACCCTGCACCTGACCTCTCCAGGTGACTCAGGCTTCCACAGAGCATGGTAGCATCAGGGATGATGACCATTTATCATGTTGACTCAGACAAGAGAAGACGTTTGCAAAGACAAAGTAGAAACTGAACAGTTCTTTATGACATCAGCTCAGAAGTCACGCCGTGTCACTTCCACCATGCTGGGTCAGAGCAGTCACTACCCTGCCCATGTTCCAAGGGAGGACAAAGACCCAGATCTCAGAGGAGTGGACTGGGCTCAGCCTTCTGTGGCCTGCTATAAGCCAGTGCTTGGGACTTGGCCAAGGAATGTGGAGCTGGAGTGCAGTACAGATAATACCTTCAAAAAGATTAAGGCATGTTCATAGAAGTACCATCATCAGTTTTATTTTCCTCAGTCTTATATGCATAGAAGTGCTTCATGATGAAAAACTTTTCTCTACAAAAAGAATCTCAATATATGTTACAAAATTTAACAGGTGATACCCAGCTTGGGTTTGTAATATTTTTTGTTTTTCTTTTGCAGTGGTTTCTAACATAATAGAATGTCTTAAATAGTGGTCCTTTAGGATAGATAAAATCCAATATGCCCCACTACAACACATTAGGGTCTCACACTTCACATGATACATGACTTTTCTTGTCATAGCCTTGTTTTTTCTCCTAGTGGTTGGACATTGGGCTGTGGCCTTAATTTGCCTCTTTCTAGTTCCTGATGGGACTGGTCATGACCCTGATCATCTTGTTTCCTCTTCTTGTGAAGAGCTCTTTGTGCCAGGTGGCTCTTCTCTGATTGGAACACTTATTGTTATGGTTTAGATCAAGGATGTCCCCCAGGGGCCTGATGCACTCACAGATGGGGTTTTGGAAAGGTGACCGGTGACAAGTGTGCTAAATTGCTACCAGGAGGTGGGTCTGGCCAGAAGACGCAGGTCGTGGAAGGTAGGACATGAAAGGATAGATATTCCCAGCTTCTTGTTTCTCTCTCCATTTCCTGGCCACCATGGTGTAAGCAGCTTTCTTCTATGTCAGGCCCTACCCTCATGCCACTTCTGGCTTGAAGCCACCTACCATGGACTATAAACGTGAACCACAATAACCTCCTCCTTTAAGTTGTGGGTGTTAGGTATTTGTCCCAACGAAAGTGGCTAAGACATTTACCTTGTTTCGTATTGGTTCATTGACCTTACATATTTTGGATACTAACCCTGCCTCAGCTGTTGCAAATACTTTCTCCCAGGCTGAGCCTTGCTTCTTCATTGTATTCATTTTTTTTAAAAAAATACAAGTCTTACTTTTAGTGCAGAATGCCTATTTGAATAAGTACCCGCAAAGGCCTGTGACTTAGAGGCTTGGGTGGCGCTGTTGGGAGAAGGTGGACTGTATAGAACACAGGTGACAAACCTATGGCACACATGCCACAGCAGGCTGTTCATTATCACTGCAAACTCTAAAAGGCTCACCATCACTGCTCTAGGAGGTGGGGCTCAGCAGGTCTTTAGGTCACTGGGACAGGTCCTTGGAAAGGACTGTGGGACACTCACACCTACCTCTTTCACTTTTCCTCCTGGCTCCTGCTGTCAGCTGCCCCAACCAGACACTGGCATGGTGTCCCACCCTTTCCAGACAGCCAAAGAAATGGAGCCATCTGATTCTAACTTCCAGAACCCAAATAAAACATTTGTCTTTCTAAGTTAATTGCTTTAGATATTTTGTTATAGTCACAAGAAAGTGATTTACACACAAATGAATTGTCCCTTTTCACCTGAATCCTCCCAGTTCTACTGCCAATTATACGCTGAACCTTGAGATTCTTAGTGGTCACAGTGCCCTGTCTGACACAGAGCTGGCATTCCACAGTCAAGGAGGCCTGGACAAAGGTGGAGGGCAGCAGGACAGTTCTGGCCAAGACCTGAGAGCCTCTCTGTGCTCATGGAATTCACAGCTCCACCAGTGCTGTGCTGAGTTCATGAATGAGGATCTCCTTGTGGTACAGGCAGGAGGCTCAGGTGAGGACACAGCACTCCCCTGGCAGTACTGCCATTGCCAGGGCCCAGGAGAGAGTCAGAGTGCTTTGGGTAAGAAAGTGGTGGTGAATGCATCCGTGGCCTCCAGCAGCTGTGGTCTGACCCAGAAGGACCACAGTTGTCCTGCAGGAAGCAGTGCCTGCCACTGGCATGGCCAGCTGGAGGCAGAGAGCTAAGGTCCTTGCAGTGAGTCCATGGGGCATCACAGTTACTGGGGTGAGCGATATGTAGATTTGACCCTGAACAGGGGGTTTCCCGGCCTCAGCCTCCTCTGTGCCTAGATCAGCCCACCAATCAGTCTACTGCAAAAGATGCAGACCCCTGTGGGCTGCAGTCTCAGACTTGTCCAGAGCTGGGAGAGCCCCAGAACTCATGGCCTGGCCACCCCACATGCTCTTGGGCCAAGGTAAGAGCTGCATGCCCTGCACCCTCTCCTCACTGAGGCTGGTGGAAAGTCCCAGGGAGATGTACCCTCCTGGCCTGCCAGGCAGAGCCGAGGGAGGATGAGCATGGCAGGAGCTGTCACCCCACACACACTGCCTGTCTCCCGCCCGCCATTCCCTTCCCTTTCTCTCTTCCCTCACTTCTTTTCTGCACACAAAAAATAAGGTCTTTGGGTTTTTTTGCACTAAGTTGACCTTCTAAGTGCATTTTTTTACATACAACTCTGCCTCCCTCCATCCTTCCCTCCATCTATCCATGGACTCCTCCCTTCTTCCTGCATGCTCCCTTATTCTCAGCCAGGGCTTAGGTGGGGCCCCAGTGTAAGGAGCCATGCCTCAGCCTTACACCTTTTCTCCAGCAAATTATTTCCAGATCTGCACATGTGACCTGTTCAGGGCCCATCAGGGAAAACTGCACAAATGATCAAAGTATAAGCATCTGAGTTCTCAGGGTGAGGAGAAAGAAATACCTGGTTTTGGAGATGAGGCACTAACTAAATCTTATTTTTTTATCATTCGCTTTACCAGGCATAGCACACCAAGAAGCTACGTAGTCTTTGCAGGACTATTTAGGGGTCAGTGCTGCCCGTAACGATCTTCTAGACAGGCTGTGTGGTGCCAGTTGGAGAGAGATGGGTGGGGTCAGAGAGACTGGGGAAGAAAGTGGAAGGCCAGAGCTGAGCACTTCATGCCTGTGTGTGTGAATGGAAGTTTGTGAGTTCTTGTCAATGAGACTGATATGCAGACATTAAATCAGATCATTACTATTGGGAGAGACACTTTGGAGCAATCATTGTGGCTGTGGAAATAAACATTTTGTGTACATTATGTAGGAGAACCCGTGTGCAAATATTTCGTGTTAAACATCAAAGCTTGCCAATTTGGACCAAGATGCCACAGAGAAATCAGCTCTCACAGACAACTCCAAGATGTTCCAAGATCAGTCTCCATAGGACACTGACTACTGGAATGCAACTGAAAAGTGACAATGAACAGGTAAAATACAGAAAAGGGAAAGGTAGCATAAGAGCCAAGCTACTCCCAACCCAGGCATTGACTGCACACTGTGAAACACACAGAACTTTTGGGAGGGGCAGACAGGGAACAACTGCAGCCAAGCACTCAGCCCAGATGCCAATACCCATAGAGCTGGCCGAGTCACACAGTTCCCCCACTGGGTGGGACAGGGCCCAGAGTCTGTGATAGCAACAGGAAAATGCCCCACCACTCACAGGCTCTGTTCCAAGTCAGTTCCGGGGACCAAGCCATTCTGTGAAATGCGTGGAAACTCTTAAGGGAAGTATAGGGGCAGGGAGGGGCTGTATGGTGCTCAATGAGTCACCACTGACCTCACTGGTAGCTCAGCCCAGAGCACACTGAGTTATTTCCCATCTTAACAGTTGGTTTAAACCCAGCAAGAGGGAAGAGAGGTTGCCCAGGTCCTGAGGAAGAGCTGGTCTCTTCTAGGTGAATCAGAAACAAGTGTCAACACTATTTCTGCGAGGGGCATAAGCCTATTCTCCTACTCCTGTACTGTCTTCCATACTTGATTTAAATTAATTCTATACTTTCATGTCTGGTTGAGTTCCTCATCTCATAAATGATCGTGGATGAGGAACAGCCTGGCACACATCATTTCAAAGAGGCTCAACTTCAGTCCTGTCCTAGGTGCCATTCTAGCCTGGAGAAGGGTAATAGGGAACATGATTCAACCCAAGATTCTTGGGTTTCTAGGCAGAGTTTAGCTAAGGCTCTTCTAAGCTTCTAGTTCATTGGCTCAACATTTTGTGAAGACTGTGGGTGCCATGAGGTATTTAATGCCTAAATGTAGTGGATTGACAACTGGTGGGCAACTTATAAGCCCCAGCTGAACTGAGTAAGCATGGTGCTGGGTATGGGAGGTGTACCTGGGGATTGTTGCCAGCAGCATAAGAGGCAGAACTGGAGAAGGAAAAGGAGGCTGTTGGGAGCAAAAAAGGCTATTGGGAGATGGTGGAAGCTATAAGGAGCTGTTCGTTCTTTTGGAGGAGCTTGTCATGCTGGCTTTCCTGATGAACTAAGCTCTTTTCATCCTCCAAGGAGCTTGGAACCTTGTTGGCACTGAGAATAGCTTCGGTTTACTTTAGGGGAGCTCTGGTCCTCACTCTGAGCATAAATTCCTGGCTCCAGAAGGGAAGAGGGTGCACTGCCAGTCTCCGGGAGAAGCTTGCTGCACTGGCTATCCTGTTGGGAACTCAGCCATCTTGATCATCGGAGGAGCTCGGAACCTCACTGTTGCTGAGGATGGCTGTGGTACTTTTCAGCAGATCTCTGGTTCTTACTTTGCACTTCACTTCCTGGCTCCAGTGCAGAGCCCTCGGCCTGCTAGCACAGATCCTTCATCCCGCTGGCACAGACTTCCTAGATTCCACCACTGACCTTTGGGCCTTTGTAGCACATCCATGAAACAGGCCTGCATGAGATGTTGTTATGGGTCTGGGCTTCCAGATGGATTCGTGGGAGGCATTGTTATGAGCTCTAGGTCTTAAGTTGGACTCGTGCAGAACATTATCTTGGGATCCAGGCCCTCAGCTGGATTCTTGGTCTATAGTGTGTAGACAGATTTCCTGCACTCTTTTGTATATCATTCTTTGGATGACTATTATAAATAATCTTATAAAATATGTGTCCTGTATTATATATTGTTCTCCCCTTGCAAAAATAAGCCCCAAACCATTACACTAAGCTATTTGCCAAATCCTTGGGTGACCTTGGCTACATTAGAGTAACTTGGGGAATCCAAAGCTCAGAAGTATCTCTTTTAATAGCCACTTAGAGATACCAGCTGCTTGTTCTCTAAAAGTGGAAAAAACTTCAACCCACCCTTGAAAAGTGTCAACAAACACTAGGAGATATTTACAATCTAGCTTTGCATCCTCTGAGCAAAATCTGTCAGTCTTCCCCTGGGTATGCTCCTCAGTGTCAGATGGGGTAAGCTAGGGCAGCAAGCATGAGATGAGACTAAGAATTATTCCTAAGGCACAATTCACAAACCACCAGTGCCCACTAAATCATTTTCCTAAGCTCTTCTTATATAAAGGAATTAAGGTGTAGATGCCATAAAGAGTCGTGCTCAGAAAGGATTGCCAAGAGGCTCCCCTTGACCACTTTCTATTAGTTAGTTTCAGTGAGAACTCAGCCTCCTTTGCCCATCCACCACCACAGAGGAATACTGAGCTACCTCTTAGCCTGAAACTCTCTTTTCTCCTGATTAGAGCATGGGGGACACTCTGCTCCAGACGTTGATCTATTACTGTGTGAATAACTTTCTGGCCCCAGTATCTGGGCCATCCTTTGGATGCTTTATCTGCTAGGCTGTTTCCCTAACTGATGAAAGCTGCCCTTTTGGTGACCCTTACAGTGGATAATAGCTGCCTCCTGAGGGAGAAGTACTGCTTCCAGGAGGAGTACTACCAACTCCTTATGTTTTATAAGGGAGTTTTGTACCATTAGCAGCCCTCTCTCTTTCCAAATGGCTACATGGGCATGCTACACAGCAAACACATATTTAGAAACTGTCTTGATTACTTTTCTCTCATCGCTGGGACAAAATATTCAATGCCCAAAATTAAGGAAAGAAAGATTTATTCATCTCACAGTTTGTGGAGGTTTCAGTCCATAATCAGCTAGCTCCAAGGAAGAGTGGCATATGGCACGGGGGCAACAGTTTATGACTGCAGAAAACAGCAAAAGCAGCAAGAGCAAAAAAGGGAGGAGCAGGAGCCAGCAAGCCTCTTTCTCTCCCTTATGTTGTGTGCAGGCTACCTATCCCAGGGTGGGTGTAACACTTACACCCATAATCCCAGCATTGGACCACGAGTCAATCATAAACTCTAGAAGCCCACCCCATGATTGCATGTGGCTTTGGGGGGACATCTACACACATACCATAATGGAAACTATAAATATCTCTTACCTTTTCCCAGTTGTAGGGATCTGACTAGGGCAATAAACTCTGCATTTGGGGGTAGGGGTATGTGCTGAGAGAAATTTGGCCACTACAGTGTCCACCACACTCTCCATAATAACCTGCCTTCCTCCATGAGATGCTCCCATTTGTAAACCACTCAGCATCTATATCTGGAAGGAGCTGTCCCAGAAGTCAGGTCTACTAGAGAAGACTTGGTCAATTGTCTTGTTCAATTGTACAATGATGTTATAATTTACCCTCCTCTGCCATAGGTAGACAGGTGGCTGGATTTAGGTGTGATAGGTTTGTAGAGTAAGATCAGGAGTGTCTAATAGCTGAGCCTCATACTGCATTCATCTCCCTCCCCTTAGCCAGTGATACCCTTTTACCTCGAGACCTGCTTGTCCCTGATGAGGAGACTCAACCTCCAAGGGAGCTTTCAACTGGCTCAGGAGACAAAGAGGGCAGCCCTAACCCATATCAGGTGCAGCAGGAGGCTATACAGTACTGGGTATGGAAAGCATGTGGAAATCTGTTAGTGAATTGTCAGTTGGAAGAGGGGTCTGTTAGAAGATCTGTGTCTGGATCTAAGGCCCTAGATTTTAAAATCACACTTAAATAAATCCAGTAAGAGTTCCTGTGATCATTAGTCCTGGTTTCTTACTCAGGTACAGTAAGAAAACCTGGCAGTTTAGCAAAGCAGGCTCCTGGGCATGTCTGTATGGGTCATGGAGGTGTGACCTTGCACTGTACAGGTTTCTGAGCCCATTCCTCTCTCCCACCCCAGCCACCATGAATTAAGCAGCTTTTTTGCCATGCCCTAGTGCCGTGACATATCTTCCTTGGAGCCATCAGGTACACAATCACGAGATCTGAGGTGCTGGTGATACCAAGTGGTTCTTCCCCTAGCATCCTGCAGGAGCCCTGGCCAAGAACAAGGAAAGGAGGGGAGGGAGGGATGTGTACCTAGATGGATAGAGGATAGAGGTCAACTCAGGAAAAAAGGAATCAAAAGCAAAGTTCTTGTGAGCAGAGAAGGAATGAAATGAGGGGATAGGGGAAGAATTGGGGTGGTGGGAGACAGAGAGGCAGAAGCAATGTGGCTGTGTCAGGCAGATAGCTCTCTCACCCAGCTCTCCATCAGCCTCCCAGAGAAGGAAGGGCATGGATGTGTGGCTCTAACCTTGGCCCAGTCGCTCCAGGATTGGCCAGGCCCTGGCTTCTGGAGCTTTTCCTGTCTCCAGATAATGTCTCTGCACCTCCCACCCCAGGGCTCTGCAGCCTTTGAGGACAGAGTGTTGTAGGGTGGGGAGGTAGAGGAGCTGAGCCAGGTGCAAAGGGCGCCTGAAGCCAGGGAGCTCCACTCCAAAGTCAGACACATTCACCTCTTTGTTAGTGGAGCTGGGGCCTCCCCAGGAACTCAGCTCTGCAAATCCTAGCATCCAGCTACAGCTGATTCAGCCCAGGCCAGGCTCTATGGCCTGCAGGACAGCTGGGGACCTTCTCATTCAATCTCCAGCTGTTGGAGGCCACAGCACAGCTGCTGTCTCACCCAGTGAGCCCTGACTTCTCCCTCTTGGGCCGTCAGGGCACTGGCAAGGGCAGCAGTGCTGACCTGGTGGTGCATCCACAACCAAGCCTCCAGGCTGCTTCTCCAGCCCTGTGTCACCCCAGGACTCAGCAGCTTTGGACCCTTCTTGGACTCATCCCAGCAATAGTGGAGCCACCTCTTCCAAAGGCACAGAAAGGATCCCAGGTCTTCACCAGAGCAGTTCTTCTGCCGTCTACCTCTACCAGGTCCCACCTCTACCAGGTCTGAAATGGCAGCCCTGTGTGAGATTAGGACAACTCTCGTGACCACTGAAAATGGGAAAATGCCCAAGATATCACTACCAATGTAGGATGGAATGGGATAAGGGTAGAAAAGGACAACTCACCTGTGAATCAGTCACTGTTGTTAGTATAACAAAATACCCAAGGCAAATAACTTACAACGACAAATTTTTTATTGTGCCTCCTCGTTCTGGAAGTTCTCATTCAGGATCATGTGGCCCCTATCTCTTTGGATCTTTGGAAAAGTGCTGGTATCTGGTGGGGCAACTAACACCAGGAGCCAGGAGGAAAACTGGAAGAGATGTGTGTCCCACAAGCCTCCTCGAGGACCTGTCCCCATGACCTAAAGACCTCCCACCAGGCCCTGTCCTACAGATGGTCCACCTTCTCCCCATAGTGCCACACCGGGGACCAGGCATCTAGCTCACAGGCCTTTGGGAGTACTCATCCAAACTGTGTTCCACACTAAGAGCAAGACTTGTGTTTCACAAAAAACCAATAAACCAAAGAAATGAGACTCACACTGGAAGAGGGTATTTTCAACAGTGAAGAAAAAGTTAGTATCCACAATCACAAGGTTAATGAAGAGATAAGCCTGCCACTCAAAGAAGGACCACATGGTCAAATAGTTCCTCACAAAGGAGGAAAGAGGAATGACCCAGATCATGGCCAGTCCTATCAGGAACTGAGAAGAGGCAAGTTAACACCACAGTACACAGTGAGACATCCAATCACTAGAAGAAAATACAAAGCTATGACAACAGTAATGCAGGATATGAAATGCGAAATGTTGATGTGTTGCAGGAGGACCCTGGATTGCATCTATCCTAAAGCACCGCTATTCAAGACATCCTATTATTAAAGACAACTCCTAAAGAAAAAAAACCATAAAACCAAAGCTGGGTACCACAAGGAAATAAATATCAGGTTACATATACTAAGATCCATTTTGGTCTTTTTAGGGAAAAGTTCACCATAAAGCACTTCTATGCATTTAAAACCAGGGAAAACAAAACTGGTCAAGTATTTCTGAAGAACCATTCCCATCAGTCTGATGCTCCTCAATCCCTTTGAATGCACAGTCCACACCGAGTCCCCACACCGTGTCCCCTGCCTGCCAACCTGTGTGCTGGCCTGCAGTGGGTCACAGAAGGCCAATCGCAGCCTACTCCTCTGATAACTAGGCCTGTGTCCTCCCTTGGAAACTGGGCTGACTTGCAGCTCTAACCCAGCACAGTGGAAGTGACACAGTGTGACTTCTGAGGTGATGTCATAAAGGACTTCTACAAATACCCTCTCATGAGGTACTGAGCCACTGTGAAAAACTGTCAGCTCCCCTTCCCTGATGCCACGATGCTCTGAGGAAGCCTGAGTCACCTGGAGAGGTCAGGTGCAGAGTCTGTATGAACAGTCTTGGTGGAGCCCAGCTTTGAGGTCTCCCATTCTGGGTGCTGTAGGCCAGAGTGAGGAAGCCTCCAGAGAATTCCACATCCAGCTCCCAAAATGACACCCCCTCGCCAGCCTTCCTGGAACACCCCATCATGGGGCGTCCTCCCTCTGCCCTCTTAACGTCTGACCACAGAGCCTGAGGCACAATAAAACAGTCCTTGTTTTGGGTCATGGAGCTTGGGTGGCCTATTACAGGGCACGGATAGGGGACTGCTCCCCGACTCACGGCACATGACCTCTACCCTGTCCAGCTCTGCCACCACCTGCCTGGCTGCAGGGCATTCGCAATGGCTCCCCACACCTCCCTCCCAGCCTCCCAGTCCCTGGAGCTCCCCAGCCATAGTGAAATCCTGATCTCAGCCAGCGCTGCTGCCCTCCCTCAGTGAGCAGCATGCCTGGTTCCTTAGGTGGCCGCTTGACTGCCCTTGAGGGCTGGGGAGGGGGACAGAGAGGGCTTACCCCATAATCACTCCGGAGACCCTATGACCCCCACCTGATGCTGTCAACATGCAGGTCCCTCGGCAGGCTGCAGGTCACAAAGTCACCATGTCAACCTTCCTGTCCATCATAACCCCAGGGTATTCTGCCCAGGGGTGGGGGAAGGGCCTTGGGGACAACTAGTGGCAGGAAACCCAGAGCTGCTCTATCCCCAGTCCCTGTGCTCTGAGAGGGAACTAGTGTGGGCACACTGGACATTGGTGACAGGGCTCCAGGGGCCATAGTCCCTGGGCACAGGCAAGGTGGCTGAGCAGGAGGACCAAGGTGGCTGGTCCTTGGCCTACCTGGGCCCTGGCACAAGGTCCCATGAGCAAAGAGGTCACAAGGACAGCCAAGAAAATGGGGAGGCACCGCCCCTGTGTGCCCTGCTCTGTGCTCTACCTCCTGCTCCTGCTGCTTCTGCTCTCATCCTTGCTCAGCACAGGGAGCTTCCTAGACCCCAGCCCACACCCCAATGAGAGCTTTGGAAGCTCCTACCATCTCCATGACCAAGAATCCGGGCAAAACTGGCACAACAATCAGACGGAAAGTGATTGTTGGGGCGCCTTTGACCTCTACTTCATTCTGGACAAGTGAGTGTCCCCTAGGTCATGCCTCCACCTGACCTCAAGAAGGAGCATTTTCCAGTCACTCCAGGCAGGACAAAGTCTCAGGGGACTCCACCTCTGCACAGACAGGCAGGTCCCTTCTGGGTTCTCTGGGGAGAGACGGCCTGTGGCCTCTGGGGGGCACTCAGCCAAGTCCCTGTGCAGTACCTTTTGCTCTAAGCCTTGTTCTTCCTCTCACCCTGCAGACCTGGCACAGTTCCTGCACCTTTAGACCACTGGGGTTCAGCCTGGCCCTGGGGAATCTGGGGTGTCCCTGGGCACCTGCTGGCTGTCAGGGAGGGAGGCAGGCAGGACTTGGGGAGGTGACTGGGTTCCATCTCAGCCCTACCCACTGGCTGGGTTTGGGGACCTATTGCAGCCCTCAGCAAGGGGATGCCCTCGCTGGTCCCCAGCCTCCTCCTGCAGCACCACATCCTCCCCATTCTGGATGCACAGCAGCTCTGGGGTCTCTGTGTGATGTCCTGGTGCAGGGTGGGCTCCTTGGTGGCCAAGGTGCCTGGAGGATTCTGGGGGTGACGAGACCCAGACTTCCTGGGCTGGTCTCCTTCACAGTCGCAGGCTGGCTGCACTCGTCTCCTCCTTCTCCATGGGTACTGAGGGTGGGGGACACAGGCCCTGGCCCCAGTAACTGAGCTGAATCTGGACCTAGGAGCCCGCTGGCCTCTGAGGGTGAAGTCTCTCCTCACTTCCAGCCCCAGGGACGCTGAGATGCACCTGGAAGGTGGTGGCCCTTGGATCCTTAGCACAGTGGGGGTGGTGGCTCCCTTTGGGCATCAGAGCTGGGGAGGATGAGCAGCCAGTGGGCTGACACCTTGTTGGGCCAGTCCTGCCAGAGAGTAACTGTGACCCCAAAGCCCCTCTCAGCTGTCACCCTGTTGCATGCCCCTGCTTGCTCCCCTGGGCCCTGCTGCGAGGCCCGCAGGGTCCAACCCAGCCCTGGGATGGATGGGGAGGGCTGTGGGCACTGTTGGGGGTATGGAATAACATCAACTGGGCACTTGCTGTGTGCCAAGCGCTGTTGAGTGCTATAGGCCTCCCACTGCTTGAGGAAGTAAGTTTTGTGCCCTCATCTCAGGAGGGTGATGTGGAGGCTGGAGGAAGCCTTGTGTTTTGGGAAAGTTCAGTAAAAACTCCTCTGCAGCAAAATAACAGACAGTGGAAGGGTTCTCCCCTTCCCTTCCTCCTAATGTTAAAGGACATAGGAGAACTAGAAAGACCCAAGGAAACATGTTCCTGAGCCTAGGGCTCCCGTTTCTCACCCCCAGCCTTACCCCTCACACCTCACACCTCACACCTCTGCAAAAGGTGTGAACATGGCAGAACATCTTCAAGACCAGGAGACAGGCCAGGTCCTTTGGCCACACTTGGCTGGAGCTGCAAGCTAAGCTCAGGCTCTAGACCTTCTCTGAGGGAGAAAGGGGAGCAGCTCAGCCCCTGTGCCCAGGCCAGGCTCCTGGATGGAGACTTATGTGCAGGGTTCCTCCCCTTCCACACTAGACCTGCCACTTGCCATTCCCACTTGCTGGATTCTGCAATTGGGGTCCAAGAAGGTGCCCTCTGCACCTACTTTCCCTCTCCAGCAGGAGGGCCGACCACGGGGAATAGCACACCCCTGTCCCTTGCTGTAGCGGGGTTCATTGCTCAGCTAAGCAGCAACTGTGGAACGGCACAGAGTCACTCAGAGAGGCCAAGGGCAGTGAACAATGCATGGGGTATGGAGAAAAGCCTGGTTCAGATCTAGGCTGGGTGTGGGGACTGTCAGGTTTTCTCAATCTGCCAAAGACCCAGTTTTCTCTCCTGTAAAAGGTAATGAGCTAATGTGAGCATTACCTGAATGGAAGCACATAGCAGAGGGCCCGGGACACACATGCTCAGGGAAATCGTCCTGATACATTTAAAACCATCCAGGCTCTCACTTCCTCATGGTGCCCACACTAATTTAGATGCAGCTCAGAAGAAGGAAAAAGTACAAGGAGGTGGCTCGTGCTGTGTGACAGTCACCACATGTTTGCATGATCTCCAGGAGGTCCCTTTTCCAGGAACCATGATCTCTGGAAAGAAGTGTGGCCTCCTGGCAGGCACCCCTGACTCACTCACCATGGAGCTCTGAGTGTCACATGTCTCTCCACAGCCGGCAGGGCTCTCCTCTGCCGAGTGATGCTTCGCTTGCAGAGCTGTGGAGCTGCAGGGACCTCTATGAAAGACATAGGACAGATGTGTGTGATTCCCTCTGGCTTGGAGGTCACAAGGCTCCAACCTCCTCCTGCTCCTCATTCTCCACCTGAGGACAGAGTGGGGAAAATGGAGCAGGATGTGGGAGTAGGGACAGGAAGAGCCTGCAGCTGTCCCTGTGGTCCACAGTGCTGAAACCAGGACAGCAGTGATTGGCCTGTCCCCCTCCCATGACAGTGCCTGCTGGAAAATGCCCCTTGGGCCTGCCTGCCCTAGGTCCACAGGCTGGTAACAAAGCCAGGGTGGCAAAGGCAGGTCTCTCAGTTGGAACCCAGGAATCCAGCAGCATTCCACAGGCTCTCAAAGGGCTTCTGATGACCGTGGTGCCAAAGTCCCCACCCACACACAGGAATCCGGGAAAGTCACACCAAGGACAAATGGGGACCCAGACAACCCCTGAACCAGAGGTGCTCAGGGATCTTTCCAATCATGTCCACTTTCTGTCCCCACACCCCTCACCTATGGACCAGCCACACTGGGTGGCCACCAACCATCCCTGGTGCTAGGAAGGCCCCTCAATCCCACAGATGGTCTGGTTGGCTACCCTCTGTCTACTGGTGGCTGTGATGACAGTCACGCCCAGGATGACCCACTGTGGTCAGAGGTGTTGGGGTGGGAGGGTCTTGTCAAGGATCCAGCAGAGAGGTGGCGAAGGCAGAGTCAGTGCCGGATGATGGAGGCATCTCATCCCCTGACTTGTGTCTCCTTTGTCTCCAGGTCTGGCAGTGTGGAGAACAACTGGATTAACATTTACTCATTTGTGGCAGATTTGGTGGCCAGATACAAAAAGTATGCTTCCCCGGGCTGTAGGCTCCCTTCATGTCCATTAGACTTGGGTGGGCCCCTGGGGTGGGGGCACCGAGCCTAGCGTGACTGGGCAGGAAAAGGGGCAGAGTGCACTGGCCCCTGGGTCTCAGCAGTGTGGCTGCCCTGCCTGAAGCCTGGACACCTGCAGGGACACTGCCTGGCCTCCTGGACTCCCAGGCTGGGAAAGAAGTCAGGACAAGCAGATGAGTGACTCAGTAGATAACCATTGGACACGGGGTGCTCAGGGCCAAAGGAAAGGACAGAGAATGTACCAGGAAGGTTAGAGGGGAAAGCAAGCATTTCTAGAGGGAGGTTGTCCAGGGCAACTTCTCGGAGGGTATGGGAAGTGAACCTGACCTTCAAGAATGGAAAAAAGGGTCACAGCAATCCTCTGGGTGACCTCTAGCATAGGGGGAGCACAGGCCCAAGGACTTCTTCCTATGAGCACAAGGAGCCATGGAAGGTTCATGGGCAGGGGGATGACGTGATCAAGGTTGTGCTTCAGGAAAAAAACTAGCAACCGTGGATGAACAGAGCTGGGAACAAGAGGAGGAGCAGGGGGCAGCTCAGTGACTGCAGCCACCTTGCTGAGGGTGAGAGGTCCTGGACCGAGGGCAGTGGTCAGGGACAGGGTGGGGAGAAGTTGTGAATGGTGCCCAAAGGGAGAGGGATTTCCTGAGCTGGAAGGAGGGAGGAGGGTTTGAGAAGAGGGAAAGTGGCTGGAGATACAAAAAGTGACCGCAACAGAGAGACTGAGTGGGAAGGAGGCCCCATGAAGGAGTGTGGAGGGTCTGTCTCCTTCAGTATGTATGTGTGTGAGCATGTGAGCATGTGAGCGTGTGTGTGTGTATGACGGGGGTGAGCATGAGTGTGTGGGATTGGCTGTGTATAATGTGAGTGCCTGGGCGTGTGTGGGTTGTGTGTGGATGACTGTGTAGGTGAGCACTGTGTGCATGCATGCCAGTCTGTGTGTGTCAGGGTGCTGGAGCAGAGGCCACCCTGACTCTCCCTGGGCCCGTGGCCCCATCGGCTACAGCACCTCTCACTGAGGTCTCTGACCCATGGCACAGAGGGGTGGCACAGTGACTGCCCCACATCCCCCTGCTGTGTCCCAGGCTTCTTACTTCCCTGCTTCCTCCCAGCCCCAGCCTGCGCATGTCCTTCATTGTCTTTTCCCGAGATGCTAAAGTCATCATGCCGCTCACCGCAAACAGGTAAGTGTGGCTGTGACCCCAGGAGGGCTGGGGACCAGGCCAGAGGGAGCTGCAGTTATCTGAGGGCTCCATGGCCAGCTCCGTAGGGAGCCATCAGGGCATGGGGTGGGCTGGTCAGGACCCCTGGGAACCCACACTTACCTCCAGCCTGATGCCTGGCCCCCGCACCCCTGCTGCACTGGAACCCACAGACCCTGCCATCCGGAAGTCCCCGTCTCTGCTCAGCCTCTGCCAGTTCTTCCCTGGGCTGGCTGTGAGGACCTGTGGGGTCCAGGGGGCTAGCAGAGCAGACAAGGCTCCCACAGGTACCCTGGCCTGTGTGAGGCCTGCTGTGCATGTCACTCTCTGCCCAGGGCCAGGGGTAGGGAGAGCAAGGGCTAGGGGCAAGGAAAGGCTGGTGGCTTTGTACAGGGCAACATTGCCCCCGGTAGGCTCCAACAGGGAGGCCTGGGAAACCAACATGGGGGAGGTGGCCCAATGTGCCCAGAGACCCAGAGACCCAGAAGGATGCTAGGGAGCTGCTGACTGGCTACAGGATGCAGGGTAAAGTCAGATGCAATGCCTGAGAGGGAGGAGCACAGAGAAGAGGAGGGGGCTCTTAGGCTGGAGTTGTGGGGGAGCCACTATGCAGGACCCCGGGGAGAAGCCAGGGACAGAGAGCCAAGCAGGACAAGCCTACTCTCAAGAAAGGGAGGTTCAGGAGGCCCTGGGGCCTGGGGACAGTGACACTGGACAGCAGGACGTTTTGACCCAGGGACAGTAGAAAGGAGACTGGGTCAACATTGCCAGCACACACTGTGCACAAGCAAAGCTTTAAAGGTGCAGGTGGCATGGGATGGAGGCAGGTGGAGCTGGTCAGCCTAACTGAAGGTTTGACTGAAGGAAGCTAGCAATTGATTGAGCGAAGACCAGTCTGTGCTCAGAAAACAAAGAGAGTACCAGGTTCATGTTGATTTGCTGGTGTTGGCTAAAATGTAGAGATTCTCATGCTGGGTGCTCAATTCCAGAAAATGTTTCTTCTTGTAACCAACATGGATCACCTGATGGTCATGGTGAACTTGTCCTAGAGGCTATTGAATTTTCATGTACCTGGTGCCATCATCCTACACAAATCATCTTGGCCTCTGTTACTTGGGAAACTCATGGGTGATCAATTCACTCCAAAACTAAATTACTGTCATAGCTGGTGTCATCATCTTGCATGGTATGATAGAGCCGAAAGACATTCTGTGTTGGAGCTGCTGAGACAGCCCAAGGGTGGATAGGTAGACTTAGCTCCAAGGAGCAACAGAGTGAGTTAACCCTGAATGATAGTCTTAGACAAACTATTTCTTAAATGATCAACATGTCTATGTACAGAGCTGAGTAGAATCTGGCTCAAGAGCTATGGCAGCAAAGGGACACACAAAATATGAAGATGCACTATGCCAAGCATTTCATCTCATTGTAGTCATCCATCACATATCTGCAGGCTTTTATTACTGAGCTAGACACAATACTGACACCTGTGACTTCAAGGAGGCGGGGTCCATTTGGCTCATGTTTTAAGGAGATTTAGTCCATGGTGGGCTGGCTCCACGGCAGGAACTGCATGGTGGAAGGGTGTGGTGGAGCCAAGCTGCTTAGTTCATGGCAGCCATGATGCAGAGCAGGGAACAGCACCAGAAAGAAGCCAGGAACCATATATAGTACCCAAGATCACACGTCCATGACCCACCCAGACATGCCTAGAAAGATGCTCTACCATTCCCACAGGCAGATCCCAAGCAAATGAAGCTGACACTCAGCCTACCTATCACAATGCCCAACCCAAGAATCAATGGTCCTCAGCTAAAGTGGCCCTCGAGTCCCTGTGAACTAACCAAGGAAACTGTCAGACCCATGTGTCAGAGGTGCTGTCTGCAACAAAGCTCATCATAGGAAGCTAGTAATGTATTGCCCAGCTGTGTGACATGCAAAATTAGTGATCATAAGTTGACTAAGAGCAAGTGAAGCTAGAGGGAATATGTAGGAGGTTTCCTTCTTGGGAACACTCATTTCTTGCCAACTTTCTGCTTTTGTGGTTTTATCAGACACTTCTGATGGATCTATTGGAACACACCATGCTACAAAGGAATATACTGACTGTTTCCAGGAGCTAATTGTGCCATCCCAGCCTTCTGTCCCAATACCGCCCCCATGGTGGTCCCTAATTGCCTGAGACAGAGCCACCCCCACCCCCCAGCTCCAGCTGACAGGATAAACAGGGAGGGGCTGACTCCGTGGGCACAAGGGAGGCCTGGTGCTGAGTTGTGGGTATGGGAAAGACTTTAGTGGGCACAATGGATGGAGAAGTGGACCATGGGAAGAAGCTGGCAGAATCCCTGAATGGCAGTTGGACTGGGATGGGCAGGACCTGGCAGGGCCTCCCCAGCACAAGGCTGGCTGGGCCTCCTTCACTCTTGGGCAGGGCGAAGCATAGACAGGTCCAGGGTCCTCTGAACTTGGTTCATAGCAGAGTCTCTGCCCCAGGAAAAAGCCCCCCCTGAGGGTGCCTGCTCTGGGTGGCCTTGCTGTGCAAGCTCAGCCATCACAATTGATCAGCCTGAGCCCAGCCCTACTTCTTGTCCCAGTGCTGCCACCAGAACCAGTGCCAGCACAGTCTGCCTCAATTGGCCCTGTCCCACTAACAGCCACTGACAACCCCATCCCAGCAGCCTGGGCATAGGGCTTAGTCATTTTAGCATCCTGTGGCTGCCTCCCCATCTCAGGCCTTTGGTGTCAAGAGCACTGAGATCCTCTGCCTGCACTGCTCAGGAAGCAGGCTGGCTCCTCCCTTTGGTGGCTAAAGGAGGGTCAGGTCAGTGTCTGTGCAGTGGAGACAGCACAGAGCAGGTTGAGCTGGAGACCTGTGGGACCCAGCCTTCCCTGCTGGAGGACAGAACCTCAGCCAAGGCATTTTCAGGTTCTAGTAGGCATTGGGCATGCAGGTCCCCCTGGAGCCCCGGACTCAAGTTGCGTGTCCCTGGGTAACTACCCTCACCAGGGTCCGTGGAGGGTTTCTGAGAACATGGTGCCTGAAACAAGATGAGCCAAGAAAAAAACCAGGCATTCCCATGGGACCTGCTCTCAGGCTCCCTACCTGCCAAAGGGCTCAGCAGGCTGGAGACAGAGAAGGACAGGCAGTGGTTCAGTTCATTACAGGGGAAAGAGCCACCCATCCATGTGGTCAATGGACAAGGCTGTGGGACAGCTCTGGGGGTCTCGTAACAGCTAACCACTTTCTTGATTTTTTTGCAGAGATGAAATCTACGATGGTCTTAACAGACTCCAGTGGGTGGCACCTGGAGGCTACACACTCATGCAAGAAGGGTTCAAACGGGTAGGGATGGCCAGAGCCCACGGTAAAGCCACCTCTCAGTGTAAAGTGAGACCACATCCACCCAGTGCTGTCCCTAACCTGTGTCTATCCATTCCCTTGCAGGTAAACGAACAGATCATGAGATCCCAATATGGAGGTGAGGAGCCCATACCCCTTCAGACAGCTGGGCACACAGTTCGTAGGCCTCAGGGAAGTCTGTGTACAGTTTCCTCCCAGCCTCAATTGTGGGTGCTGTGGGTGCTCTTTGTATTAGCTTCTCATTGCTGCGACAAAATCAACTTAGAAAATCAACTCAGCGTAGAAAAGGTTTTTTTTGGCTTACAGTTTGCTAGGCTTCATAACCATGGTCATCTAGCTCCACTGTTTCTGGGCTGTGATGAGGCAGAACATCATGGTGCGCAGTGTGTGGTGGAGCAAAGCTTCTCATCTCACAAAGGACAGGGGGAGAGAGCAAGAAGGAGCCAGGCACAAGATTCACCCTTCAAGGGCTCACCCCATAACTTACTTCAGCCAGTGAGGTCCCACCCCATAAAGTTTCCACCAATTCCAAATAGCACCAGCAGCTCTGGACCAAGCCTTTGACACATAAGGTTTGGGGGAACGTCAAGGACCCACAATATAACACAGTTGTCCAAGCCCTGTGTGGTGGGTAGAGTGCCTGCCCCGGTATGGTTCTCATAGGACAGGAGGCCCTATGGGTCCAAAAGGACACTTGGTCACTCTGAGTTCCTGGAACTGCACTGGGCCTCCTGTGTAGAAGGAGAAAGTACTGGGCTCAAACAGCCTGTGTTCACATGGTGAGAACCCCACACTGTCCCTAGGGTCTTCTTCCCCTTCTCTGTCTCCATCTTGCATTGCCCACTTGCTCCTCAGCCTTGACAGCTAACCATGCACATGGCTGTACAGCCCAGGATAGACATCTTGCTGCACTGTGGGCTGACAGGTCTGGGCAGGAGTGGTGGAGCCGGGTGGGGATAGCACTGGGGAGGAATAGGGTCCCCTGTCCAGGACCCTACCCAGGAGTCCTGAGCAGCTGGGCCACTGTCCCAAGCAGAACCCCACAGGCTGTGCTGGCAGCAGGCACTGACACACCCTTCCCTGGCCTCCTCTGCAAGAGGGGCTACTGCTGCTCCCCATGCCCAGGGATGAGCTGGGTTTGGTGGGCATGTGGCTATGCTGTCTTCTGGGTGAAGGGTGTACAGCCTGAGGGATCACAAGGATTCAGGTCACTGGAGGAAAAGACCCTGAACCCCTCTTTCCTCATCTATAAAATGGCCTTTGGAAAGGTCCCCTTCTCACTTTAGGGTCTCTGGGAGATGGGTGCTGGGGTCTGGGAACCTGTACCAAGAGCCGAAAATGTGGAGAGCAGTGGGCAGTGTTGGGGCATGGCAGCCTGTGATGGTTGCAGGTCCCCTGCTGGTCACTCCTGAGCTTTGCCCACCTGGCCCCCTACCTCTTGCTTCTTCCATAGGCAGGAAAGTAGCCAGCGTGATTATTGCCCTAACCGACGGGATGCTGATGGAAGAGCCATTTAAGCAGACAAAGGAGGAGGTGAGCCCAGGCGTGGTTACCAGCATTTCTCCCCACACAATTTGGTGAGTTACGCTAAATGTCTCCTTCCTCGCAGGCTGACAAGTCCCGGAGCATGGGGGCTATCGTTTACACCGTGGGTGTGCTGGACTATGACAAAGACCAGGTACTTCAGACCAGAATACTGGGGCCACAGACAGGTGGGCACCACAGGATGACAAAGGGGCTTGAGTAAACAGGGCTCCACAGGCCAGGTAGAGAGCTGCCCCCTCCTCGAGCCTAGGTTGATGCAGGAGCCAGTCTGTGCCTGAGCGACTGACTCCCCACTGTCCCCAAGCCTGAAGGCAAAACACTGTTCTTCCTGTGGGACTGGAGGCATTCTTGAGGCCTTAACTGGGCATCACGCTGAGCCTTCTCCTCACAGATGATGGCAATTGCAGACACCCCAGGACACATGTTTGGGGTGAACAGTGACTTCAAGGGTCTGAAGGACATCGTGAACTCAGTGAGTTGAGCCACCTGGGAATGGATGGGGGCATCACTGGGACCCAAGCTTCACACTCCCACCCCTCCTTCTGCCCTGTGTACAGCTGGCCTCCAAGTCCTGTCTGGAGGTGACATCAGTGGAACCACCCTCTTTGTGTGTGGGAGGTAAGGGCCATGGATCTGCAGAGCTGGCAAGCACCTTTATTCATCAGGCTATTGTGGTGCCATTTGTTTTCGTGTGGGTGCTTTGCATGGTATGTCTGGGCAGCGTGTGGCCCTTCCCTGGTGTACAGTATGTGTGTGATGTGTGCACGTACTGTTTATGGATGGTTTGTGATCAGGGGTTTATGGTGTGTGTGTGTGTATGGAAATGTGTGTGTATTGGAGTGTGCACATGAAATGAGTGTTATTTGTGTGTCTAGGTGACATGTTCATGATGTGTGTGTGTGATATGCTAGGGGTGTGTGTGTAGATCTGGAATTAGTGTGTGGCATGAGTGTGGAGAATGTGTCAGGTGTGTGTAGTGTGTGTCCTATAAATTAGTGTGGTATGTGTGAGGGGAGTCTGTGAGCTAGGTCTGCAGCATGTAGTGTGTGTACCCCTACTTTGTGGGTAATGGAATGTGGGGAAATGGATGGTGTGGGGCTGCTGTGTTTGTATGTAATATGTGTTGTGTGGGAGATGAGTATGTGTGATGGGTGTGGAGTACAGTTGCTGTTGGTGTTGGTGGTACGTGTGATGTATATACTGTATGTGTGGTGTGAGTATGGTGTGAATGTGTTTGTGATGTTTGTGGTGTGTGTGCAGTATGTGTAGCATGTGTGGTGTAAGTGAAGTGTGAGGTTTGTGGAGGTGGTGGTTTGGTGTATATGGGTATGGTCAGAGGCTGTCCATTGTGTTTGTGTTGTGGTTATGAATGTGTTATGTGGGGGCTATGGAAGGGAATGAAGTGTGTATGTATGGAATGATATGCTTTTGTGGTGTGGTGTGTCTGAGTAAACATGTGGTACATGGTGTGTGGTATGTATGTATATGACTAATGGTTTGTGGCACTTAGTGTGTGAGAGTGCTGGGTACTGTGTTTGCAGAATGTGTATGTCATGTGAAGTGGCTGTATATGATTCATGTGTGGTGTTTTGTGCAGGGTGTATTGCATGACTGTGAATGTGTTTATGGTATGAAGCAGTGTGGAACATATGTATGGTATTGTGACATGTGTGTTTGTGGTGTGTGGTGTTTCTGTAGGGAGTGTGATATTGCAGGATGTTTATGGTTTGTAGGTACATAGAGTGTGGGCAAACGCACATATCTGCAGTATTTTTACTGTGTGTGACATGTATTATGTTTGGTGGGGGGTGTCTGTCAAAATATGTTGTGTGTGAATTCATTATGTGTGTTAAAATGTGAAATGTGTATGTGGAAAGTGTGCTATGAGTGTAGGATGTGCATGGTGTATATTCTTGTGCTGTGCATAGTATATGTGTTTGCAGTATGGGGAGTGGTTTGTGGTACATGTGTTGGAAGCACAGTATTTAGGTGTGATGTGTGACTAGATATTGGTTACATGGTGTGTTCATGGTGTGGTGTGAGTATGCATGGATGGATGTGTGTGTCTCCCTGAATGTGTAGTGTGCATTTGATGTGGGGTGGAAGTGGATGGTTAACCTGACTGTAAATTGGGTATGCACAGAATGTACCCTGCTGTGTGTTTTGGGTGCCAGTGTGTGTCTTAGTTAGTTTTCTCATTGCTGAGACAGGATACCTGACACCCAAAGTTAAAGGAGGAAAAGTCTATTTAGCTCACAGTTTGTAGATGTTTCAGAGTATCATCGGCTGGCTCCAGGGCAGGGTGGTATGGCAGAGGACAAACAGTTCAGTGTTGGCAGAAGGTAACAAAGCAAACAAGAGGGTAAGACAAGCCTCTTTCTGTCCCTTATATTTTATCCAGTCTACCAGGATTAGGGTGGTGCCAAACCAATCAGTGGACTGATTTAGTAATCACCCACCCTTAATCCTAGCATCACACCATGAATAAGTCACACAGTCTCAATCTAGCTACCTCTAAAAAATCCCCACCTATGACTGCATGAGGCTTTGAGGGGACATCTAGACACAAACCATAACAGTGTGGATGTACACGTGCAGTTACTGTCAACTGATCACAACACAAAGTTTAATTGTGAAGACAGGAAAAGTTTGTTTCAAAAATGCTAACGGACCCTGGAGCAATAAATACCCTGGATAGAGTAGCATTTAAACAGGCCAACACAGTCACAGCAGCCAGGGCTCAGGCCAGAGGTATGGGCAGATCTAGGGTTTGAAATATAAAGTTTCCATGTCCCCAAATGCAGACAAATGCAAGGCATCACCTCATGGAAAGAAGCAAAAGCATTGTGCAAATTCAGCATCCACACTGGGCCAGAGAGAGAAGGAAACCTCCATGCCTGACCAGGCATCCACAGAGACAGCCAGGGCACACCCACCCCTGAGGGGAAATGGTAGCAACTGTCCCCAAGGCCAGAAGTGACAAGGGTTCCCCAGTCCAGCGTAGGTCCCCACCTTGGTTCACTGAGGACACTTCTTTGTGGTCCAGCTCCTTGTCCTAATAGCAGCCTCCTGGCCCAGGCCTGGCTCCTTCCTGTCCCCACCGGCCTGGAGTGGTCCCAGGCCAGCCAGCCCAGGACCTCAGTCTATAGCAGCCTCTCACTCAGTCCCTGCACATGGACTTGCTCCACATGCTGGCCGGAGGACCCAGCCCACTCTTTGTCACGGGGGTCCAGGCTCCTGCCTTGGCTTCCCCCAGAGTCCCTGTCACTCTGTGTGAGGCAGCTCTGCACAGGACACCCTGCAGTATAACAGGCCACCTCTACACTGGTGTGCAGCCATGGTCCTCATATGGCTGGCTTCTGACACCTTTGTGGAGTGAGACAGGGAGGATCAGGTTGCTCCTCTCACAGGTGACCCCTTGGTGGCTGCAGCTGCTGCATCCTGGCCTCTGTGTCCTTTGTTGGAAGTGCCATGGCTACAGGGTATGGGCAGAGAGAAATGTGTTCACTTCTGGGCTCTCCACCCATGGGTCCAGGGAGGAGGGTAAGGTACCAAACATCTGGGCTGCAATGTGGCCACCAGTGGATAAATAGCACTGTGGGGACATTGAGGAATGGAGGGACAGTGATGCCATAGCCTCAGGACATGGGTAAGAGCTGAGGACAGGACCTGGTCCCGACCTCTCCACCTTGGACCTCAGCTCTGTACCCCAAGCCCCTCTGATGCCTGGCAGGATGGGGGCTGCAGTGCTGGGGTACAGGTGGGTGGGGGACCCTGTCCTGGGCTGTTTCTTGCTTCTGGTGTGAAACAGCTCAGCTGTGCAGCCCTCCTGGCCTCTGCACATCCCTGATGTGTGCTGACACACAGGCCCTGATGTCTGGGCAGCCAGACAAACCCCAGGTGAGGGCAGCAGCTGTCACTGCTTTCCTCCTGGCCACAGAGCTGACGTGACAGGTGCCTCCAGACACCAGCTCTACCACTGACCTGCTACACTGCTGGGCATCCTGTGCAGAGCTGCCTCACACAGTGACAGGGACTCAAGGGGGAAGCTAAGGCAGAAGCCTGGGCCCCAGGTAACACAGAATGGGCTGGGTCCTCGGGCCAGTATGCAGAGTGAGTCCATGTCCAGGGACTGAGGGAGAGGCTGCTGCAGAACAGGGTCCTCGGCTGGCTGACCTAGAGCCACTCCAGGCCCTTGGGGACAAGAAAGAGCTAGGCCTGGGCCAGAAAGTTGCTGTCAGGCCAAGGACCTGGGAATTGCAACCAAAGACCTGCAGGAACCCAGCCTAAGTGCTGCAGGACCACTCAGCTGCCCTTTCTTATCCCAGGGCCACACTGGTGGAATGCAGGGCTTGTGGGTCCACAGTACAGTGGGCTGTGGTACCGTGGGACAGGAAGAGATTAGGTGGGGAAGGAGATACCAACCTCTGAGGAACCCTCCTACGCAGGACAGGGACCTCCTATATCCCCATTCTGGCCCTGCTCCTGGAGTCTCCAGTGGGAACCATGGGAATTCAGGGTAGGAGGCCCCAGCTGAGGTGGCCCCAGGAAGGTAGGTGTCTGTCATGGTCTGTGGTCAGGGATGCTGAGGGGAAGGCTCCCAGGTATGTATGGCTGGTCCTTCTGGTCTGGGAGACACACAGATATTCAGACACAGCTGCTGCCTCTTGGCGCCCTGGGAGTCCCCCTGGGGTGATGGCTGTGAACACAGCACCCTACTCCCTCACTCCCCATTTGAATGTGTCCTTTCAGAGCCCTACATGGTGGTCTTCACTGGACAAGGTTTTCAAAATGCAAAAGGCTCAGACCAGGTTATTTGCAGATTCAAGTTCAGTGCCACCAACATCTACGGTAAGTAGCACCTTATTGTCTCTAGGTAACACATTTCCCTCAAGATATCCTTCCCCTCAGCCCACAAAGGCTCCAGCTGAGGCTGAGCATTCCCAGAGGATGGTGTGTGGTTAGGGGACACTTCATCATCTGGAAAGTAGGAATTGGTAAACCCCAGCTCCCCAGAGCAGGCTGGTGCAGGCCTGGGCTGTCCTCATGTAGCATTGGTCCCACCCAGTCCTCTACAGTCTTTGCTGAGAACTGGGAGCTCAGGCAGGAGTCCGCTGCAGGGATAGCACAACAGCCCTGAGCTCTGAGCTTGACCAAGTGCAGAGGGAGTCTGCTGGGAAACCACCCACTCCAGCTTGGAGAGGGCACACAAAGGACCTGGGAAGCTTCAGACCACAGGCAGAGAGTGGGCATCTCAGGCAGTGGGAACATGGCTCAGTGTGAGCAGAATTCAGGTTCAGGACTGGGAGGTTTCCACTGGTATATGGAAGAGAGGGAGGGACAGACCAAGAGAGGGAAGAAGGGAGGATGGAAGGAAGGCAGGTATATAGAAAAAATAATATACCTCCTCACCTGCTAGATGTCACATATACCAAGTTTGTGTTCCCTAAATCAAAGAAGGAATTTTAAGGAACAACAGAGGTTAAAAGCAGGAAAAAATTTATTGGGAGAGACAGCTCCTGAAAGAAAGGTAGGAACTTGAAAGTGAGTTGTCAATGAGCCCACTTTTCAAAGGAAGTTTTATACAGCAAAATCATGAGGTGGGTACAACATGGACCAAAACTATAATCGACCAATAAGATTATAAGTATAGCTGCTTAGGTAATATTGATCTACAAGGCAATCAGGTCGCATAGCAAGTGTCCATGGAAAGAATAAAGATCTTTTTAGGAAGGTTTGCATCAGGATCAAGGGGTCTTGGTCACCCATCGGGGTGACCAATGTCTATCTAGACTTTATTGGACCAGTAATACTGCTACAACAAACAGAAACACTGAAAGACACCCAGGATTTGGAAGCAGATTTATTGTGTGTCAACAGGCACTGATTAGGATCTTTACCATAATATCAGGCCCAAATCTCTGATGGTCTAGGGCTTTTAGGTGATGCATAACCAGGAGGTACAAAGGCGAGACAGAACAGCCTGGCAGTTCTTCTGATTAGCTAGCAGGGTAAGATCATCAGTTACACGACTAAATTTATGATTTTGAAGGTTGGTACAATAGATATCCTGTATGTTCAGGTAGGCTCTTGTGGTTAGAGAGGTCAAAAAGGTAATTACAGAAGCAGTTACAGAGCTAGCAGTTTCAAAAGAACAAACTTTTTTTATAAAGAACAATTTTCCTGGTACAGTTTTTCCCTTTTCAATACCAATTATTTTATCCCTTGGAGAAGCCTGTAGGCCTGGTCATTCTGTCTTTATCTTTATCTTACAGGCTGGACCACTAACAGATGTGCCTCCAGCCCCATTTGTAATATGTTCTCATCTTTTTTACTGACTCTCTTGAGAGCCTAGCACTGTCTGCCTGCCTGTATTTTTACATAACTTAGTTGTCTATAATATCTCCCCCTCTGAAGAGGTACCCCTAACTGTCATGATGGGGCAAGGGGTGATGATCATTTTGGCTACTTCTGGCTAAAGGGGTACTTGGTTGTGATTGGCAGTTAGAGATATTTTCTAAAGGGTCTGTCTAAATGCCCTTGATGGACACCAGGTGTTCTCATCTTGGGTAGGTGTATAGCTTTAAGTCTGGAGGAGACAAGGCCAAAAAAACAGTTAAGTATGCATGGTCCAAATAATAAGATCAACAAGACTATTGTGAATATAATCAACAAACATTTTTATTAGAAAGAGCTAGTAATAGCCTCTCACAAAGAAGGTAAGGAGAAGGTCCAGGAAATTTTAGAATCTGACATGGAATTTACCTGCTGTTTAATTTCTTGAACAACTATTGAGATATTAGTAGAAGGGTCAGGAATTTACACATAACATTTAGCTTCTACAAGTGCACAAGTATCCCCTTGTATTGCTGTTAGGATGTCTAATTTTGAAGGACAGCTTATCTCATTAATTTTATTTTTTTATTTAGGAGAGAGAGAGAGACCAGTCGAGGTGTCATTTAAGGCCCATTGAGTATAGTTAGTCAAGGCCTGGATGTGTTGTATGACATCCTCTAATCCTAGGAAAGAGATAAAGATAGAATCTAAATGATCATACCAGTGGAAAACACTCTTAGCCTATTGATGTCAGAGATGGGATAAATTTGTAGATTTGTCGATATTTTTGACACTCTTGTCTTGTAACCACACAAATCTCAGCACGCATCTCTATAACTATCCAGGGGGTAAACAGGGCCACAAATTGGTTCTACAGGGCCAATGGGTACCATTGGGTCTTTTTAATCTAATTCTAGGGTTATCAAACCAGTCTGTTGTAAACCAGGCTTTTACCTGTGATGTTATGGTGTACACACACTGCTCATGGGTGTTGTCCATCTCAAGTATTTAGTAAAGTTGGGCTACTGAGAAGAGGAGTGGTTTTTTGTTTCCAACATAAGGGGACCTTTCTATTAAGTTGTCCTATAGTTGGAGTTAACCACATATAATCATCTCATCATACACTGTCTTATTTGTCCCATTTTTATGAAGGAACTCTCATCACAGAAGAGGGTCAAATCAAGGTCAGTAAGAAGTGTTGTTAACAAGTTTTTTTGGCTACACATGTATGGAGAATTACCTGTTTGTGGTCATGTATTTTAGACTTGATTTTTTTTTTGGTATAAAGGTAGCAGGGTCTAAGGGTCTGCACCATGTTTTTATTTGGATGGTTAGTCTTTCTAGAAGTAGAACCAGGTACAGTGTATAAGAAGTCAGTTGTCTGATAGCCATAGGTTTTCTTTGGAAGAAAGAAATCTTGCCACATTGTGAAATATATATGTAGTGAGATTCTTGTCTAAAGTTAGCTTGGTTGCCTCCTGTACCAGGAAAGCTATGGCAGGCACAGCTCTAAGGCACACAGGCCATGTCTTTATTACAATGTCTAATTTATGACTCAGATACTCTACAGGCTGTTGACAGGTCCTAGACCCTCCATAAGCACTCCCAAAGCCATGCTCAGCCTTTCATTAATATATAGGTTGAAACGGTGCCACCTGAGTAGACTCAGTGCTATGGCATGTAGAAGTACCTATTTAAGCTTCTGGAATGCAATTTGGGAATTAGGTCCTCAGGTTAAAACATGAGTATTTGTCTTTTGGGCTTTTTTAACCTGATAGAGGGGTTGTGTGATCTCACCATACCCTACTTTCTAAAGATAGCAAAAGCCTGTAATTTTTAGGAATCTCTTTAGCTATTTTAGGGTCTTGAGCTGTGGGAAGGAAAGTATTAGCTGAATTTTCTTTTACCCCAGTCTTTGAGTTCCCTTAGATATGATAAGTATTTTACCTCAAGGCTGCAAAGTTGTGCCTTAGACCTAGAGAATTTAAACTTCTGTAGGCTAGAAAATTTAGCAGGGCACAAGTACCTTGGCTAGAGGGCTCTTCTGAGGGGGGCACATAACAATTTATCATCTACATATATACTACAGGGCTGTGACTTAGGAAAATTTAAACATACCAAGTTATGGGAAAGAACTTGCTTAGAAAGATGAGGACTGTCTCTGAAACCTTGAGGAAGCACAGTCTAAATCCATCAAGAGGCCTGGTGGTAAGAATTTTTAAAACCAAAAAGAAACTGGGAATCTATATGAAAAGAAATATAAAAGAAGGCATTTTTAAAACATAACACTGAAAAACAATCAGCATCTTCCAGAATCTGAGAAAAGTCCTGGTTGTGTACCACCAGGTGGATTGGCACTACTGCCTCATATACCAATCTAAAGTCCTGTACCAATCCCCTCTCTCCATTGGGGTTTTTGAAATCTCAAGATTGGAGCGTTGCATGGGCTGCTACAAGGTGTAAACAAACCTTGTGCCCTTAAGTTGTTGATTATGGGCAATAGTCCTTTTCTAACTTTAGGCCTTAGAGGAAATTGTCTCTGGTGAGGAAAAATGAGGGGATTTTGAGATGTATTTGTATCAGAGTAGCTCCTATGATCTTTTTATTTTACCTTTCATTGTCTATACTTTAGGATTTATTTTTGTCTCTACAAGAGGTAGGCAGTGTACCTGACATGATTTGGTATATTACAGTATTTAAACAAAATAAGATACTCTCCCCAAGAAGTGAACTGGGTTTTTAGGCATAATCAAGAAGGAATGGGAGAAGAGAGAGCCACCCCAGTTACAGTCTAAGGGTTGTGAAAAATAGTGAGTTACCTTCCTCTAGTGACATTTTTATTGAAATATAACAGCTGGAAGGAAGGCCAGAGTCGAAAAGAAGGACCAAGAGACACATTTCAGTGTCCAGCAATAGGCTGGGGTTTTTTTCCTCTATAGTCATGATTACTCAGGGCTCCACCATGGAGATGACAGCCTGGTGAGAGGAAAACGTCAACGAGTGCCCCTAGGGCCCTTTAATCTAGCTAGACCAGCTGGTAAAATGATCTGATCCCTGTGACCTCCATCTCAGTGGGGCAGTCTGACTTCTAGTAGTCACCTTTGTAATCAGGGCATGGCTCAGGGGGCCTCTTGTCATGACAGTTTTAGTCTGTCCTAAGGTGGCTCAGTTTCTGCAGCAGTAGCAGGTGAGTTTAGTCAGGGAGCTCTTCTTGGAGCCCTGAAAATCAAACTTAGAGTCTAATTCTTTTAAGGCTGCAACCAAGGCAACTACTTTTTCTTGGTCTCTTTGTTTTTCCCCCTTGGCCTCCTCCTTGTCTTGATTATAAAATACTGGGGAGGCAATTTTCACTAAAATATCAAATGAGCTGTCTGGAGCAAAAGACATCATTTGTGGCTTTTTAAAAAGTATCTGAAGCTGACTGGGTAGTAAGCTTGTCTTTAAGAATAATCTGCCCTTTTACCAAATCAGGAGCTAAGGATGTATGTTTCATCAATGCCTCTTGTAAATGATCTAAGAAGGCAGAGGGGTTCACATCTTTCTCTTGATAAATAGTTGACAATTTAAAATAACTGAAGGGCTTATTTTTTTGTCCTTCTTAAACCTTTAAGAATACGTATCTGAAGGTGTTTTCTGTTCTAGTCTCCTGTCTTGTCAGTAGGCCAGTAGGGATCTTGTACAGGAACTGCTTGGGCTCTAGTAGTAACCAGCTGTTCACCTAGCTGCCTGTCTTCTGGCATTTTAAAGTTAACAATATGACATTCAACTCCGAATGTAATAGCAGCTTATAATGCTGCTTGTCTCTCACTAGAAGATAACGTTTGATTTAAGAGTAGCATTACATCTTTCCAGTGTAGTTCATAGGTCTGAGTAAGTCGCCTAAAGACCTCATTGTACTAATCAGAGTCATCCGAAAACTTTCTCAGATCTTTTTGATTGGTCTGAGGTCACTGAGAGAAAAGGATATGGGTAGGTCCAAATTTTCTACTCACTTCCTGTAAAGGATATTGTCCTTGAGGAGCTTGAGCAAAATCAGCTAGGGATAGATGGAGCCCTGTAGAGGTTTCAATTAAGGTTGGCTTGGAAGCTGCACCCTTAGAGTCTGGAGGGCAAGTGAGGGCAATCTCAGGCTCAGTAACAGTGATGAGGCTTTGCTTAAGGTTGCCTTGGAAACCTCACCCTTAGAGTGTGAATGTGTTTTGGTCCCTTAAACATTGTGCTTAGGAAATAGCTCTTTCTATTGGAGCCCAGTAGAGGCTTCAATTAATGTTGGCTTGGAAGCTCCACCCTTAGTCTGGAGGGCAAATGAGGGGAACCTCAGGCTCAATTCCTAGTTTCACTCAGATGTCTGTTCTTTCCATGGGTATCAGGTTCAGTTTCTCATAACTGGGAAACTGTTGCCAGGAACACAAAACAGGGACAACACGTCGTCGTCGTCGTCGTCATTGTTGTTACTGGGAATCAAACTCAGGACCTCAAACTTGCCAGGCAGTTGCTGTGCCACTGAGCTCTACCCCCAGCCCCAGGGACAGCACTTTTATGTGTGTTCTCCTAGACAGGCAAAATGTTGATGTCTCATGTGACCCAGAGATGGGATATGTGCTCCTCGTCTAAGATGATTTCCATGTCTTTGGCATTAGCAAATGCTCATTTCCTATGGGCTCAACTTAGAAGTTCTTAGTTGGTGGACAGGAGGGAAAGGTTGAGACTATTCAGGTTTCCTGCCTCTCTAAACTTTAGCAGAAATATGACTCCAAAAAAGGAAAGCACAAAGTGACGGGAAAAGATCAGAAATGAGATCAGGAAAGGCAGTCTTTTGTACTCATGCTCACAGTGAATTATTGAGACAGTGTCCCCTGAGTCCACACTCTCAGCCTGCAAAGATGACCGTGGGGAATCTCAAAGGCTAAGATTGCCTCCTCACAGTGGATGATCAGGCCAGAAAGGAAACTAAGGCAGAACAGCCTCAACGTTCTCCTCTAGAGTACAGAGGGGGGATCAGGCCAGACTGTCCTAGTGAGACTTGTCCTACAAGTCTTAAGAGCAGCTGCTGGTCTTTTACCTGGCAGTTGGGATCCCATCACTTATTAATGGGCATGTATATCTTCTAAATATAAACTATACTTCAAAAAAAGACCCATTTTGCAGCATTTTATAAATTCACATTTTAGATAGTGTCAAAGTCCACTAGGGAACGCTCTAACATTATTTTTCCATAGTGCTGTTGTCTAGAATAACATAATGAACCACAACAGTCAAAACAAGTCAAAGAAGTCAGGCAAAGAACACCAGTAAATTCAGCAATTAATAAGTCTAAATGCAGCATATGTAAAACAGGAATACAAGATCTCACCTGCAAAAGTGAAATGTACCATCAAAGAAAGGTCATAATCTTCCCATGTTCTCGACCTCAGTGCTTCAACATTTTAACAAAAACAAATGTGTAAAAAGACAAAACATAAGCAACTGACACAGAAGAAAATTACTGATTACCTAAACAAGTCACAATTGAGTCTTCGAAACAAAAACAAACTCTTGCCTCCTTCTAATTGTCTCAATGTGGCCTTCAGTTTCCTATTATAGAGAAAATAATATAATTCCTAACTTACTAGATGTCAGATATGCCAAGTAGCCCCCAAAATCAAAGAATGAATTTTAAGGTTAAGAGTAGGAAAAAGTTTATTGGGAGAGACAGCTCCTGAGAGAAAAGAGGGGACTCAAAAGTGAGTTACCATGAGCCTACTTTTCAAAGGAAGTTTTATACCATAAAATCATGAGATGAGTACAACATAGGTCAAAACTGTGATCCACCAATACGATTATAAGTATAGCTGCTTAGGTGATATTGATCTACTGGGGAAGCAGGTCGCATAGCAAGTGTACGTGGAAAGAACAAAGGTCTTTTTAGGAAGGGATGGATCAGGGGATCTTGGTCACCCATCAGGGTGAAGGAAGTCTATCTAGACTTTATTGGGCCAGATGATACCAATTATCTTATCCCCTGGGGAGGTATGTAGGGCTGGTCATTCTGTCTTTATTTTCAGGCCTGGCCTATAACAGACATGCCTCGAGCCACAGTTGCAATGTGTTCTCATCTTTTATACTGACTCCCTTGAAGGCCTAACCTTATCTGATTGCCTAGAATATTTACATCTAACTTAGCTGTCTATAGTAGAAGAATGGAAGGAAGGAAAGAAGGAATGGATAGAAATAGAGACATCACCAAACATCCTCATCCCATCCATGGGCTGCCCCACTCAGTGATGGTCGCTATGGTCAAATTCCAGCGACACCCTTGATCCTCTCAGCCCAGCCCACACCCAGCTCCCCAGCCAGTCGCACAACACTGATGTCCCCACATGTCCAGTATCTGTGCACTCCCAAAGACCTGCTGCACCGGGAGGAAGACACAGCCCTCACCTTGGCTCCCACCTCCGGGTTCCCACCCTGTCCTCCTCAAAAGCCCCTCAGTTCCTGCCCCAGGGCCTTGGCACCGGCCAGTCACACGGCCCAGACCCTGCTCCCTCGCATTGCTCCTGGCTGCTGCTGCTCTGGTTGGGCGCAGCTCAAATACCCACTGTTCGGGAAGAGCTGACTTAACTGCCCTGGCCCCACGTGCAGGGAGCAAGACTTGCATGGAAACTGGAAGCTCCTGGCACCTGCCGCCAGGATTCCCACCCACACCCTTGGGGCTCCCACCCCCGCAGCACAGAGCTTGTGCGATCCAGTTCCAGGCCCAGCACCCTTTCGGTGCCAGTATTTCAGTGTCTCCCAAAAAGCGTCACATCTTTTGAAGGTGGTGTTTTGGTTACTTTTCTCTCATTGCTGAGACAAAATACCCAATGCCCAAAATTAAGGAAGGAAAGGTTTATTTAGCTTACAGTTTGTGGAGGTTTCAGTCCATACATGGCTGGCTCCAAGCCAAAGTGGCACGTGACAGAGGGCTACAGCTCATGGCAGCACAATACAGCAAAAGCAACAAGCACAAAAGAGGGGAATGGCAACAAGCAGCCTCTCTTTCTCCCTTACATATGCAAAACTATCTGCCCCAGGGCAGGTGTAGCTATCACACCCATAATCAGTCAAACTCTAAAAGCCCTCCCCATGACCACATGAGGCTTTGGGGGGACACCCAGACACAAACCATAACAGGTGGCACAGGTGCCCAGTTTGGCATCCAGCCCTCCGGCCTCCCTGTCCCGTCCCCTGCCTGTTGAGGCTCAGCACCATGCATGTGCCTTTTGTGCTGCTGTTGTTCAGTGTTTCTCTCTCTGTCCCCCTGGTCCCTGACCCTGGGCCCTGGAGCTCAAAGCCCTCACCGCCTCTCCCTGAGAAGGAAAGGAGCTGAGCAGGGCTCCTGGAAAGGAAGGTAGACAGAAGGTGCTGGTCATGGGCCCAGCATTGGCTCTGCTGGTCCAGGACAAGCGGAGGATGTAGGGGAAGGACATGCACAGACGCCAGGGTGCCCTTCTTTTCAGATGAAAAAGCCATCAGTGTGGAAGACTCTTCCATAACGTGTCCTGGACCGAAGCTAGATGAGCCTGGACAGTAAGTGCCCTTGGTTCTGGGTCCCAGGGGGCAGGGACAGCGTGGCCTCCCTTTGCCACTGACTTGTGTCCAGACTGTGGGTGCCCCATGCCAGGCAGCACAGGTCTGCCTGCTCTGGGCTGAGGCACCCTCCCCATCTGCCCTTGTTGGTGACCCTCAGGGTGCCCAGAGACACACAGAGGCCCAGGCACTGCTGCAGGCAGATGCAGGAGAGGCTGGACCGGGCACCTCTCTTCCCGGTCACCTTTCCCGCTAGGACCACACAGCAAGCGATAGAAGTGAGGACAGTGATGCCGTGCAGACCTCCCTGGTCACTCAGCTGTGTCCAGGATCACACCGCTTGCCGTAAGGGTGCTCACTGCCTGAGCTGCACTTCTTGCCGAGGCTGATGCTGTAGTGACTTGAAGGAGACCACAGGACCCACCTGCCCTCCCTCTGGGAGCTCCAAATGCTGGGGTTGTCGAGAGGGCAGCCCTGGGCTGAACCAACCATGGCTGCTGGGCACCATGTACCCTGTCTCTGTGCACAGGGAGCTCTCTGTTGAACTCAGCCTGAACAGTGGCGCCAGCTTCATCGGGAACAAATTCAACCTCACCAGCATCGACTGCGTGAAAACCACCACCAGGGTAGGGCTGCACCCCAGGCTGTGGAGAGCCCTGCAATGGAGACAAACCCACCTGGGGAGGTTGAGGCAGAGTGTCTCAGCAGCACAAAGAGCAGGACAGAACACACACCGGGTCCTCTCCCGGGTTCTCCCTAGGCCACTAGAGGTGAAGAAGGCTTCTGCCTATCCAGGGGTCCAGGGCACCCAGCCCCAGCACAGAGACACAGAGATCTGGGTGTTCCACTAGCTGGGGTAGGAGTCTGTGTTGCTAAACCAGTGCCCCAGATGCAAAAGGAACCCAAAGCCACTCAGGATTCTGCCTGAAACCCTGTCATCTGCACCATCCTCTGCCCCCTCCCTGCCCTCCTCCTTCTACAGCTCCCAGCAGCCCCTCTGCCTGCCGTCACCCACAGAACCTTCCTCCCTCCTGCCTTTGGGGACACTGTCCAGATGTGGCCTGCTCAACTCAGCACAGTCAGACTCCCCAGGAGGGAGGGTGCTACTCCCAGGAGTGGCTTCTCTCAGCTGCTGTCACCGGCCCTCAGCCAGGGCAGCAGGTGGGAGGACCTGCCTGGAGGAAGAAGGCTACTCACCATTACCACCCAGGTCCAGGCTCAGCTGTGAGAACCACAGAGTGACCGGCCCCATGCACTTGCTTTGGCTGATCCAGCACAGCCACACAGTGCAACAGCTGACCTCAGCGTCCACATGTGACCCTGTGTGAGGACAGCACAGCCAGGAGAGGGCGCAGAAGCAGATCTAGTTCCTGTCAGCCGATGGCCACCACTGTGCCCTCCCTGCTGCCTGTGCTCTCAGCCCAGTCCCCTCTACAGCTTCCTCTGACCCAAGAGGCCGGGCAGGCAACCAGTGTCCCTTCACTGTGATGACCAAGGGACAGCCCTGTCCCTTCACCCATGTGCAGGGGGCCTGAGCTGGGAGTCCCCAAGCCCTCTGAGCCCCTGAGTGCTTAGGCAGCAGGGGGGTCCCTCCCCTGTGTGAAGGGACCCACAGAGCCTCAGAGAAGGCTGGATGAGCCCCAGGACGCAGAGCCAGGAGGTGGGCAGTGAGGCCTGGAGGAACTCCAGTCTCCTGTTCACCCTGGGGTCCCCAGCGTCCCAACCTCCCCCATGTGGCACCTGTAGCTTTCTGTGTCCTCAAGACTTGCTGTGCTGGATCCGAGGTTAGCAGTGAGGGCCGGGGTCAGACAGGGGCTGCTGGGCTTCCTTGTTCTGGCTGAGCGCAGAGCCCTGAGCAGGGCAGACCAGCCCCAGTCCCTGCCCACTGGGTCCCTCAGGTCAGCAGATTGCAAAGGAGCAGTGGGTGACAGGAAACCAGTTGCGCACTCAGGAAGAAGCCCCCAGCCATGCCCAGTGCTGGGCCTTGGTGCCATCGGCCTCATCCATTCCCACAGCAACTCCAAGCCAAAATCAAGCCCTACCTGAAATTCCTGCCGGCCCTCTTGCTGATCCCACTGTTGCTGTGCTGTTGCTGGATGCTGTGGAGGAGGAAGGTGAGGGTCTCCTGCTCCGGGCCCTGTACACATGGTGTCCCAGGGACAAGTGACAGCCTAGAATCCAACCATGGGCCATCTTCCATCTGCTCCAAGGTCATCCCGTGACCCAGGGTCACAACCCTAGATCTAGGTGAGGCTATCCCCAGTCTCTTGCCCAGGAGAAAGGCCATCCCAAGATTGCTCACCAGGACATCTGCAGTCCCCAGGAAGATGCATTCCCAGGAACCTCTGTGAAGTCTCTGTGAAGCACCGATGGCCCAGATGCAGGGTGATGCTGGCCAGGAAGGAGCAGCCTAGGACCACTGTGCCATTAAACCCATTGAAACCTGCACGTCTCCACACTGTCCACACCGCCCCTCGTCACTGAGCACAGAGCGCACTGCTGTGTTGGGCTGGACAGGAGAGGATGGAGCAGCCGCCATCCTCCACAGGCGCTCAGAGCTATCTCTGCATCAGCACAAGGCTGAAATGCCAGCCATACCATAACATAGCCAGGGTCTGGGCACAGCAGAGACTCAGGATCAGACTGGCACCCAGAATGGAGGGAGCACCAGGCAGCTGAGGTGGAAGGAAGCCCCCAGAGCTAGCGGAAGCAGGGGAGCAGACCCGGAGGGGCCGACCCAGCAGCCAGCAGGGACAGCAGGGGACAGCCTGCAAGAGACAGCAGGGAGGGCAGGGGAGAGCCAGGTCCCCAGAGAAGGGAGGAGGCAGGAGTGTGCTGCAGCGCAGGGTGGGTTGGGTGGCGACAGCAACTTGGCCCAGTTCAGCAACCAGTGCCCTAGAGGGAGGGTGTTTGGGTCAGGTGGGCTGCTGGGCATGGTGGCACAGGGATGGGGTACTTGATGGACAGCCCAAGGCCATGTCCTGCCGGTGCTCTAGACCAGGGTTCCCTGGGCTGCAGGACCCAGGCAGAGCCCACCCAACCCAGCACCCCCTTCGGTGTCTGTCTTCCATTCCAGTTCCCCAAGAAGCTGCCAGCGCCTCCGCCTGAGCCTGAAACAGTAAGTGGAGGTCTGGGTCCTGACATTGTCACACCCCAGACTGCACTGTCCTTCCAAAGGGGCACTGTAAAGCCTATGCCTAGGGTCTCCTACCTATCTGGGTAAAGGAGAGGGGACACAAGGTCAAGGAGAGAATACAAGACTCAGTGACATCCCCAGAGAGCACCCCCAAGCTCTGGCACCCTCTGGTCCTTGGATCAGATCTTCCACACAGGGCATCTAGGGGATCCTCACTGAAACTGCAGCAACACTCACACTCTAGCCGGCGCTCTCTCTTTGTGTTCCAGCCAGAGAAAGAGCCACCACCCACACCCCAGCTGGAAAAGGTGAGCCCTGCTTTGTGTTCTGATGTTGTCACAGGCCCATGGGAGACACTGACTGTCACGTGAGGCACCAGGTACCTGAGCTCCCACACACAGCTGGGTGAAGGAGAAAGCACAGAGGGTCAGTGGGGAGGGACAGGAGACTCAGTGATGTGCCCAGACAGCAGCCCCAGGCTCCATGTCCTGCTGGCCCTGGCCTTTGTCACAGACAGAGCACCTTGGGACCTGTTTCAGCACTCACTGTCCCTACTGACTTGACTGGCTGTATCACCCCAAAGGTGCCCCTGGGATGTGAGTGCTCAGGGCATTGGGAGAGGTGCGCTGGCCCCATGTCCACCCTGGCTGTCTGCTGGGCTCCTTTGGATTCGTCTTCATCCCCATCTCCTGTAGGGCAGGGCTGAGCTGGGCACAGCCTGGGGACCACAGGGCTGCGGGTGGAGGGCGTCTGGGGGTTGAGCTGTGAGGGTGACCCCAAGGGAGCACAGGGAGGTGGGCAGCCTTGGGGGCAGCTGAGTGGGACCAGAAGTGCTGAGTAGCTGGGCCAGGGGCCCTGACTGGAGATCCTGGGAAACAGGGTGCTGCCCGGGACCTGTGCTGGCGGTACCGTGGCCTGTGGAGGTGGCATCTGCCATAGGAGGAGATCCTTGCAAAGCCACCAGCCAGGCTTCTGCTGGCCAGGGTGCCTCAGGAGACCAAGGCCACCGCGGTGGGGTTGGGGCAGTTGGAGCAGAGCTGGACTTGGGAACCAGAGGAGTTTGGCTGTTCTTCTACGCAGGGCCCTCCCCTCACTGTGGGTGCTGCTCACTGTAGTTCGTGTCGCCCCACTACATTAGCTGAGCCCACATGTGGGTGTCAGGGCAAGGACCCCATGTCCCTGCTCCCCAGAGGCTGCAGACAGGTCTTTTTTACTTCTAGGAGCGAGAAGAGGAGAAATGGCCTCCTCCTCCCCCTCCCCCTCCCCCTCCTCCTCAGCAGCCACCCCCTCCCCCTCCTCCTCCTGTGAACACCAGCCCCACAGTGATCGTCTCCTGCTGTGGGTGTGGGTCCAGAACCGTAGAGGTGAGAAGGCCTGGAGTGGGGGCCTTGACTGGGGTTGTCTCTCTGGAGACAGGAGCTCTGAACCCTTGGCCTGGGAGGGGACATGCTCTGTAGCACTGTATCTTTGGTGCTAGTGGACAGCCAGAAGCCTGGCCATGTCCATGCTCTGCTGATTCCTGAGCACCACATTTGTGTTTCAGGGCAATATGGACTCCTGTTGCAACTATGTCTACTCAGGCTGCCGCCAAATGCCACTGACATCGTGTCAGCCCAGAGTCCCGGTGAGTGGAATGCTGGGAAACTCCCCATGGGCAGAATGGCCACTGCTTTATTCCTGGGACTGTGGCTCAGGGCTGAGCCAGACATCTGCTGAAGTGGGACTCCAAGACACGGGACACAGGTGCCAAGTCTAGATGGTGCCTGGACTTGGCACCTATGTCAACACTTTGTTGGTGACCAGAGGCAGGAAGACAGGCTGTCCAGCACAGACCCACTTACCATATGTGTCATTGCCTGGCAACCATGAGGAGAAGCCACATCATTAGGATTCTTCCTTGAAATGTCCTGATACCAAGGGCTGATACTCACCACATCCTCCAGCAGGCCAGCCACAAGCTTAGGACTGTCCCTCTGTCCCCATGTTATTCTCCCACAAACTGTGCAGTAGCTGAATATTTTTTCCCAGTTTACCCAGGCAACAAAAGCTCAGAGAGCTTGCATAACAAAGTCTGGGAGGGAGAGATCAGAACTCGAACTTGGGCCTGGGTCCCACCTCCCCACAGCCCAGGTCCCAGCTGAGTCAGCCTCAGAACTGCTCTGCTCAGGTCTAAGTCCCTAAACCTCACTTCTGGATGGTCTTGGGTCCACAGCCCAGCCTTCTGCACAGGCAAGGCTGGGGATAGGAGGGTGTTCAGTGCCCAGGGCCTGTGTGAAGCTGCACTGGCCTTGCTCCCGGAATCTGGCAACTCCGTCTCAGCAGCAGGCAGCATGGATGTCTAGAAGGTCTGTGCTGGCTGGTCACCCTGGTGTTGCTCAGGAGAAGCAGGTAGGCGCCCCAGGCTCCTAGACCCCCACAGGGCTGCTTGGTGTGGAGGCTCCAGCTCCTCTAGCAGGGGGCTCTAGTTTCTCTCTTAAGGGGTTCTCAGGACTTCCCTGTTTGTCTGGATGCCCATTCTCTGCTTTACTTCTCATGGGACTCCTGCTGTCACAGCACAAGTGGCCCTTGCCCTCTACCCCTGCCTTGTGCACTGGACTGGGGCAACATCACCCAATGTCCATTTAGGAGGGAGGGACAGAGCAAGAGGCAGAGGTGTGAAAATGCCTTCCCCACTCAGAGAAAAATGGGAGACCAGGGAGTGGACACTGGAAAGGAGCCCAGAGGGTGAGGCCAGGGATCTGAGGGCAGTGCTGACACAAAGGCTTGGGGGCAGGGCCCAGTGACCGTAGAGAGCTCTAACAGCTGCCCAGCTGTGCCAGGCCCCACCACTACCATCTCAATGGGTTCACCCTACAATCCTATGGCGAGGAGCCCTGTGTCACTGGTGGCAATGCAGAGGCTCAAAGGGGGACAAGAAGTTGCCCAAGGCTACACAGATAGTCAGGGCCAGCATTCAGGGCTATGTGCAGTCAACCAAGCTCTTTCCTGAACCCAAGGAGAGACCCAAATTATGGGGATCTGGCCCTCCTCTGGCTCCTATGCCACCATCTAATTTGACCTTTTCTCTCCCTGCTGCGGTCCTGGAGGCCCTACTGTCTTATAAGATTTTGGCCATGCACCCAAGTCCAAGGTGTGTCTCCTACTCACGATAGCCTTAAAGAAAGCTGTGCCCTGGAGCCCCTGTACAGCACCCTGACACCAACCCAGCCTGTTCCGCAAGCTCAGCCCAGTTCCTTCTTCCCAGGATTTACCTGGGGCTACATCATCATCAGGTTTTTCCATCTGGCTGAGCACCAGAGGATCCTGTCTGGTAGGAACCCAGTGGAAGCCTGTCTAGGTAACTTCTCCAGCCCAGCAACTCAACCCCAGGTGCAAGGGTGGAGGTGTCAGCCAGGTATCCCACTCAGGACAGGTGTTGCTCTCTCTCTCTCCCTGCAGGTCACCTGCATGGCCCACACCCTTCTTCCTGAAGCTCTGCTCCTAGCCTTACCCAGAATTAGGGTCCAGTAGGACTGGTGGGGGCCTCTCTGATCTCCTCCTCCTGGAGCAGGGTAGCAGCTGGCCTGGGGATGAAAATGAGCTCTGGAGCTAATGAACCTGTTCATATGAACCTGGCCTTGAATTTATGGAAGCTGCTACCTCGTTGTGTTACTGGACAAGGTGCAAGGAGGTCCCCAAAGCTGAGATAAGGAACACAACCACCTGACCTGTAGAATAGCGTTGCAGGTTCACTGACTCCCATCCCAAAAAAAGGAATTTGTAGGGGCCAGGAATATAGCTTAGCAGCACAGAGCCTGCCTGGCAAGCACAAGGTCGTAAGTTCGATTCCCGGTACCAAAAAAACCTAAGAGACACACCCATGCCATAAAAAAATAATTTTTAGGACTCATCAGTAAGAGAGATGGGGAAGGTTTATTAGATAGAAATAAAAAGGAATACACTCAAAGAAATAGAGGACAGGCGTTAAAGAGAGGAAGTTCCCAGAAACTGCTTCACTCTGGGGTTGCAGACATCAGGAAAAGGTGGCCCACACCCCCACCCTAGAAGGATGCTGGCCCATATCACAGGTATGAGCCCATGGTTTGGTGCTGTTTTTGTTAAGATGGATAATACAAGCATTCTTTGACTTCTGTCAACCTCTTCCTTTATCTTAGGTTCAGGCTCCTACTCTACTGTCTCATTAAGCCAACTTACAGACTTTGAGTTTTCCTGAGGAATTTGGGGTATGATGGGTCTGGAAGGAAAGAAAGCTAAATTTAATCAAGGGAAGACTAATCTGGACACCTTGGGTGACTTCAACAGGGTCCTGGAAGTCACAGTCTCCTTAAAAGTACAATTTTTAGTTTAAGTTTTAGCACGTCATGACCCAGGAAATTCTAAAAATGCTCAGTTTACCCAAACCTCTACATTTCTTAGCCAAAGCAGACCATCTTGTTTGGTTGTGACTTTTGTTAAATGCATGTGTCTCTCGCCCTGTGGCCTGCAGTTCCCCAAAGGAAGATTTCTAATCGCGCCTCTCCCAGATATATAAGTGAAGGAGCAGGACTCAGTCCAGTTCCTCAAGCTTGAGCCTGCCCCACAATACACAGGATCAGAGTTCTCTTACCTACTCGGCAGCAGCCTATGAAGTTGGTGGGAAACAGGACTCCTAGGCCAGGCAGGAAATCAGGCTAACAATGTGAACCTCACCCATTCTCCTGAACAGGAGGGGTGGTTTTAATCAACTCAATAACTATTGTTGGAAGGAAGCTAGGGTCTCTGCCAAGTGGAGTAAGCTGCCATAAGCCAGGAGACCACAGGGCACGCCTCCAACAGCCCAGCCCCAAGCTCCGCCTCTGTTATGCAAGGTGGTCATCACACTGCATTTTGCAGCTGTGGAAACTGAGCCTCTGATGTTTAGTGATGGTCTCAGAGTGGCAGGACTGTCCCTGTGCTTGAACTGTCCCAGGGGAAACAGTGTCCCCAGCATCATGCTGTCAGGATGAGATCTGTGAGAATATCTGGAAAGTCCATCTTTCTGCCCAAAATGTGCTACATGCAAAATATTTGTGAATATTCATATCTTAACTTCCATACTACTTGCTGCCCTCCTAACTTTGAACTTTTTCTATTATCTGCTGAGAAACAGTTGTTCTGGGTAGCAATTGCACCTTGGTGACAGATGGGCCTTGGCTGCATTCAGGAGCAAAGGCCCTCTGCATTCTTCTCCTCCTCACCTTAACATGAAAGGAACTAGGCCAAAGGGCATGTGTGATAAAGCTGAGCTGTGGCTCTCCCCTGCCTGGGAACCCTAACTAACTGTCCTGCAAGCCAGTGCTGTATGGGAAAGCCTCAGGTACCAACTGCAGGGTTGCCATGGCAGCAGGCAGCCCTCTGACCCCACCCACCCTCACATACACACACATACACACACACACACACACACACACACACACACATATGAAATAGGAAATATAGAAACAGAAACAGACCTCCAAGCACTGGCAGCAAATGCTAGCCATCAAATACTTGCTGATCACTTTGGGAAATGTCTCTTCACTGAGGAGTGGTTGAGTGATTTGGGAAATAACTGTTTTCTGGCTTAGATCTCTGCATTTGGTAGACAGCCTGAAAAGGAGGAGACCCCTTAACCCCCAGGCACCTCCTCTGTTCGCTTGTAATTATCTCACAGACTCAGGGGCTCTGCAGCCCACCCAAGGTGTTCTCTGGCTCATCTTCACCCATGCACCTGCAGCTCTAGCGCTCCCTACCTGCACTAGTGCTTTCTACAGCTAGAAGTAAGCAATAGGCCAGAATGACTGCATTCTAGAGTAAATAAGCAGAAAGATCTGGAAATAAGCAAAGTAGACTCCATTCTGTTCCCAGAAACAATAAAAACCCAAATGCCTATGCCACACAAATATACCACTTGTGATGAAAAGACATCACAAAGCTTTACTTATTGCTGTAAGAGAAGATTTGAAAATATAAAAGCCTGAACCACAATGTCACTTTTTCCCAGAGCAATTCATGAGCATCATACTACTCTAGTGAAAATTGTAATGAAACATTTTAAGAAATTTGACCAAAGTGATTCTAAAGTTCACCCAAAATAATAAACAGTATAGAACCTTTAAGGAATTTTCTTTTTTTATTTTAAATGTTAAAAAAAAAAAACAAAACAACAATGAAGACAAAATCAAAACAACACAAAAACAGCAAAAATGATACATGACCTCAAAACAAAATGATAGGAATTAACCATGGTTGCTACATTACATAGTGACGGAAATTTTGCCTTATCCTATATCAAGACCTTAAGCTCCAATAATTAAAATAATGGTCTCATAAAATGACAGTCCTAAATCAACAAAGCACCACATGAATTAAATAGGCAGTGCAGTTACAGCCATCACCCGTGGTGATCAAAGTAGGCATCGGGCACACTCGGATGGACTTCTGTATGTTTACTGCATGTTTAATGATTTTGTAAAATTTGACAAGCTATTGAGAAAAAGACTGAAGCTTTGTCTCATGACATAATAGAGTAAATCCCAAATAGTTTCCAATGTTACCTAGACAAAAAGTATTACTAATAATAAGTAGAATAAAATGCAAGTAAACTGTTTCAGCATAGAGATCCAGGTAAGCATTGAAGCACAAAGGAAATCACAAAAGAAAATAGTCACGGGCTTCACTGTCCCCATTCGTTCAGCAAAGATTATTCCACATCAGGCACTGGGGACACAGAATGAACAAGAAGAAGAAAGTCCCACCGTCATGATGGGTTTACATTTTCTTTGGGGAATGTTACAGGGTGACAAACAACTGTCCAGAGAATCAGACATCACTAATATGCCAGCCAATGCCTGGCTGGCCAGAGCAGACTCTGACATTTACACTGAAAACAAATCAGTAAAAGTCAGTCAGTGGAGTGCAAGTCAGAAGAGCTCCTTCCGAGCAGAAGAAGCAGCCAGTGCAAATGCCCTGGGGCAGCTTGGGCTTGGTGGAGCGAAAGGCAGGAGTCAAACACTGTCTTTGTCAATCCAGTGGTCAGGTTGTTCACAACAGTGCTCATTGTCACACATATGGGGAAGAGGGAGACAGACACCCATCAGCCATGCAGGTTGGAGTGTTGACAGGAACAAGCTTTGCCAAAGCAGTGGTCTTATGTCTGGGCTCACAGATAAAAGCTCTCTTGACAAATGAATGATCAAATGAATAAACGGATGGATGAGCATGCCCAGTCAGACATGGCCCTGCGATTAGATTCATGGTCATTTCTGCTATAAGGAGGCTTTTCATATCTGATGTATATGAAGGAACAAGAACCGAATTTGAAGACAATTGTGGATGAAGAGGAGCCCCTGTGACAGTTTCAAGGGTGACCACAGCAGAACACGGCTCAGCCACAGTGGGTTGCTTAATCTGTCCAAGTACCACCTTCTCTGTCTCACAAAAAGGGATAAAAAGCAACTCCTGAAGCATGTTGGTTACTTTTCTCTCATTGCTGAGACAAAATACTCAACACCCAAAATGAAGGAAGGAAAGGTTTATTTAGCTCACAGTTTGTGGAGGTTTCAGTCTGTAATCAGCTGGCTCTAAGGGAGAGTGGCATGGCACAGGCACAACACTTCAAGGCAGCAGAAGACAGCAAAGCAACAAGAGCAAAAGATGGGGAGAGAAAGCCTCTTTTCCTCTTGTATACCATGAGCAGGCTTTGCCGCTCCCTGGGCAGGTGTAGCACTCACGCCATCTCACTGCCCTCCTCTTGCACAGGATGAGAATGTTGCAAAGTGAGACCACTCAGCCCCCATGCTGAGTCACTTAAATTTCTAAACTTCTCAGCTTGACACAATGTATCAACCATTACATGACATTTTAAAGAATGCTAGACCACACCATGGTAGAAATAAGGGACATCCAAGTGTGCTAATAAAGCCAGGAGTCCCCAGGGTCCTGTCTCCAGATCCAGTCCAGGGCCTTCTGGTAGCTGCCTGCACCTGGCAGCAGATTCCCTCTTCAGCATCAGGATGGATGGAGACCATTCTGGCTCCTTGGCTGTTGGGGACATCAGAAGAGCAGCCACCTGCCTGGGAATGTCCAGGGCTCACAGGATCATCCCAGAGCTGCTCTTTCTCTTTCTGTGCTATTGTTTTCCTTCTGCACTTCTCAGAGCATAGCCTCACAGTAGAGGTGCTAAGATACAAGATGCTCCATACGATTGTAATTGGCACCTTTCCTGGGGTGGGGACTAAGATGGTCCTCTTTCCATATGTGGGAGAGGGTAAGGACACAGCAGAAAATCTCTACTACGAACTGGGGCAGAGGGAGGAGATTCCCCATCTCCATCAGTTGCCAAGCCAAACACTATTTCCTGCCAATGCCAATGTCTACTGAGATTAAGAATGTATCTGTGGTATAATTTACCAGTCAGTGTAAAAGTATGCATGGGAAGGGTCCATAATAAAGCCAGCTGAAGTCCCGAAAGAGGAAGTTTTGTGGATGCTCTGGAATTAAGGGACCTAATTTTGTCTGTTGTGAATCTTTCAAAAACAGAGCTTGAAAAATCTTTCAAGCCTTGTCAATTAATTTTAAGGGTTTGAGTACATTGTTTTGCTTTGATGAGTGTACCTGGCATAAATTCATTTGTTATTTGCTGGATAATTTTTGCCCTAGTTTGTCCAGCCTGTGAACAGTTTTCCCAAGTGGCATAGAAATTGTTTTGAGACTGACAGGTGTTGTAACGTTAATCTTGTAATGCCTATCTGTGACCTATTTATCCTTACAAAGGAGACTTTTTCTTTGGAAATCAGACTCCCTTATTTCCATGAAGATCAAACGTCTTGTTGGCTTTTAAGCGGCTATATCATTTGCAGCATTTAGGTGTTCACTTTTGCTCTTGAAAAAAGTTCAGAAACAAGTAAAAAGGAGTAAAAGAGCCAAATTACTTACAGGTACATGTAAAAAAAAATTAAAACAAAATAAGAGAATTCGCAAAAATTTTAAACTAAGTACGCAGATGAAATGAAATATTTAATCAGGAATGGAAAACCAAGAGTGAATTCACCAGAAAATACTTGCAGTTCTCACAGACAGAATGTGAGTTCTTAGAAACCAGAAAGACACTTAAGTGTCTTTACCAGAAAAGGCTCACAGAAAACTCAGATGCAAGGTTCTTTAATTAAGGTAGCCTTATGCCAAATAGATCCCAGATAAATTCCATGGGAACTCCCAAGCAAAATGAAGGGGGCTCCACCTAAAAGAAGATACACTGGGCAGAAAGGTAAAGCATAGAAAGGCAGGGAGCACAGGGCTCAAGGTGGGTACCCTTACCTGGTCCCCAGAATCATCGATGTTCTCTGCAGGTGGTCTTATTTCACATCCCACTTCTGACACCAAATACTAAGTTACCATCAGAGATTCTCCAGTGATGATGAGTTTACTGGGGAGACACAGAGCATTGTAATGGGAACATGCATTGCAGGATAGACAATGGGCATATTTAAAGGGCTGAGGAGAGGAAAGCTTGAAAGGCAAACAGGGATTGCGTAGTTATTTTAAAGCAGTACTCCTTGGCCACAAGGATTCATAAAAGGGTATTCCAGTATCAATAATAAAGGTGGCTTTGGAAGAACAGACAGTTAATGGATAGATGTCTTTATACGAGTACTTTTATGTATAAGGGATTTAAATAAAAGGGAAGAGCCTTTGGGCATCTGGATCTACTGGTTGCTATGGAGCTGTGTATTCGTAAACCCACTGATCCGAAAGCTTTGCAGTAGCTTTGGTTCAAAGGTGTGGTTCTGGCAGAGACTTTTGCAACTGTGCTTCTCAAGCAAGCATGCATGAGATCCTATCCTTCATAAACTCAGCTTTATCTACTTTAATCTTCATTTCTATTAGTACTTGAGACAAGTGGCTCCATTTTGATTGTGGTTTGATTTGATTCACAGGCAACATCAACAAGGAAGGCCACACTGTCCATCCTGATGGGTCCTAACCTCACCCCCTTCAACTGGCACCCACAGCCTCTGGCCCAACTCTCCCTAATGCCTTGGTGACCACCCCTCTCTTCTCTTCCTTACAGGGGAGGTGCCCCAACATCACCCTGTTGAATCCCCACTGTGCACAGGATTCCTGTGGCCAGAAGATTTGCATCCAACCCAGTAGGAAGTACTGCCACCTTACACAGCCACCCTGTGCCTCTAGGACCTGTGCTCAACCCATCAAGGAGTGCTACCCCCTCCCACGGTGCACCCCAAGGATCTGCCGTCATCCCAGCAGGGATTGTTTCACCATCCCAGAGGAACCGAGCACCCCAACGATGCACCTATCACCTAGCCAGGAGAATATCTATGCGCAGTGCTACCTCCCATCCAGGTGCTCCAAGAGTCCTTCCAGGATGCTACCGCTGCTCTCTCCCTTTGCCCGGAAATCTGCAGACTTCCTTGGCCCCTCCCGTTCCCACCGCCCAACCTCTAAAAGCACAAAAATCTATGACTAAGAGATCTTTGTTACTAAATTGAATGTAATGTATTTGGTCTTGGTTTATCATCAAAAGGTGTTGGGTTTTGTTGCCGATCAGAAAGAGATTATCATTTGGGAGATGCTCCAGTCTAAAATATAACTATGCTACGTCTACCAGGACACATACCCTGGTGTCCTGTTGGTGCCAGGCAGGGATGAGGCCTGTTCCAAATAGCACTGTCACCAAGGGCTAGAAGAACAGGCATTTATGCCAATTTCCTTATAAGAAAAGCCCCAAAAGTATCCAAATACCAATACTATGGTGAATCTACTTCCCTCTTTTGCTAAAAGAAGTACTAGAATTTCTCATTTCGTGCACTGTATGTTCCTGGTTTTACTTTTTTTTCTTTTTGGCTACCCAAATCTTGACCACATCCTAGAAGGAGGTGAGTCCTTTCTGGAAGAGAGATGTCTCCTTCCAGAGGCCCTGTGCCTTCCCAAGCCTGGGGGCTTTCAGCAGATCCCCTGCACTTCACCGGAGCAGGTAAACCTCCCTTTGGGTCCAGCACCAGAAAGGTGGGCACTATTACCTGGTCCCCAGAATCACTGATGTCCTGTGCAGGTGATCTCATTTTACATCCCACATCCTATGTATAGCGCAAGAATCCTACCGCCCAACACATGCACCACTGTATACCTGAACATCCAGGAGCGGGGCACATGGGCAGGAAACCAGACAAGAGGCTGAGAGAATCTCAGGAGGGTCCCCAGGGGGCCAGATCCAGCCTGATCAGTCATCCCTAATCCTGAGAGTTAATTAGACAGCACCTCCCATTCACCCCCATTCCCTGGGGGCCACTTTCAGCTTTGCAGGTGAATTTCTGTCAACTTCACACAAGCAGAAAAAGGCCAGGCTTTGAACTTGACTCTACACAGGTTTACCAGGATGGGCCAAGATGATCACCCCATCTCCAAGATTGCAAAGTGACTAGGCTTGCTGAAATGGCTCATGTCACATGTGGAGGGGTCGTTCACAAGCTTCCTTAGGTCCCATAACTTTGACCTTTCGTTCATTCCAGGAATTGCTATTTCTTGTCCCTTCTCTGACTTCTCTTTCCTGCACTGTCCTGAGCTGCCACTGCCTGGACCCCACTTCTGGGTGCCGCCTGCTGCCAGGACCTGGGTGTCGCCCACCCTTCCTGGCCCCACCCCTCTCTGGCAGCACATCCGTCTCTGCCTGGGTGTAGGAGACTTCCCTGAGCTCCAGGGAAATGGAGTCACAGCACCAGGGATGGACTCGATGGTCTTGTCTGGCCTCCTTGGGAGACTTGGTCCCACAGCAGCTGTGGGAGATTTGGGGAACAAGCAGCCCCTCCACAGGGCACAGCCTGACAGTCTTACTGGAATCTGTGGCCAAACTTGGTCAATTTTTTGTTTTGTTCTTTGCTCTTTCTTCAAGTGTGTGCATATAGAGATTTTTAACAAAGATGTAAGCATCCCCACTGTGCTGCTAGACAGGGAGAGGTATTTAAGGGTGCCTGGCGCCAGGCTGGGAGGTGCAGAAGGGAGAAGCGAAGTTGCCATGCTTTGTGGGGAGGGACAGACACTCCTGCAGGGAGTTCAAACACAACACCTAGACACAGGGAAGGCTTCAGTGGAGTCCAGGTGTGGCTCAGGAAGCATTTGGGGTGGATTTGTGGGCAGCTCCTTGTCTGTGTCAGGACTCCCATCACTGAAGGCAATGACCCTGGGGTTGTAGATCCCTTGGGTTCCTTCTTCTACTGACCAGAAACCTGGGTCATTTGAGCCAAAGAAATACACATTGGCGGCATATTTGCATGTAGAGTATGTTAGCTTTCTCATAGCTGGAACAAAATACCTGACACACACAACTGGCTCACAGTTTCAGTGGGTTCAGTCCATGGTCAGCTGGTAACAAAGCAGAAACAGTATTGGAAGAGCACAGTGGAGGGAAGCTGTTCATATCATGGCAGCAAAGAAGCAGAGACAGAAAAAGGAGGAGTGCAGCTGAGTGGTGACAGGCCTAGGGACCCAGAGTCACGTAGATGGCAAGACTGAAGGCCCAAGCAGGCTGGAAAATGTCCCCAAATCTCTAAAGTGTAAGTCTTTTAGATGAACAGCAGCAAACACATCAGATACCACACGGGAATGTTCCCCAGCTTGTGGGTAGCTTGTGCTCCCTCCTGCCAACTGGGGAGTCATCAAGGGAACATTTCAGAAACCCTGCCCTTGGACTGTCCAGACTACACAGAAGCAGGATCTGAGAGGAGGTAGTGAAAGGACAGTGTAGGTCACTGGCCTGGGGTCAGAAGGGCAGTCAGGTCTCAGTGACCAGATGCTGCAAAATCCCCAGGAAGCATTCTTGGCCTTCTCTCCTTCAGGTCCTCCTGCTCTATGGCCATGTGGCCTCTGAACTCTGTCCCTCCCATCCCCCTGCCTCTGCTTCCCTCTCCTGTGGTCCTGTCCTCTCTATGCACCTGGCTGCCACTACCCCTGACAAACCATGATTGCCTGTCCTCTGCCCAGATGACCTGTGGAAGCTGACTGGCTTCTCCCGGGGGCCATTGGTGAGGAAAAGATTACAAATGGCCCTTCCTGGGTCAAGTGTCTGTGCCAGTCAGCTTTGCCTTAGGGTAGTGAAAACCCTGAGGTGACTGACTTACTGCTCACAACATGAGTTAGGGGGAGGAAGAGACTGGGGTCTCACAGTCCCCTTCAGGGCACACCCCAGTGACCAAAGATGCTGGGCCTCCCACGTGTCGGACAAGTACTCTACCACTGAGCCATGCTCCCAGCCCAACGTACAGGCTACTGTAGGACATTTCAGAGCTGAACCAAGGCAGTATCCCTCCTGGTCTAACCACAGAGTCATTTCACACAAACATAGCTGCTGTGGGCTGTGCATAGAGTTTAGCAAAACTTTTGTGGACGTAGCCTTGGGCAGGGCAGGCACCTCTGGAGTTGTCTTCTACATGCTGAGGGTCCTGACTATCTGTGTCCCATGAGTGGTCTGCCACCCACATCCTTTATTTCTGCTCCTTTCTGTCACCTCCTCCCCTTCTCCTGTCTCCTAGGAAGCTGAGCTGTGTGGGCAGGCAAAAGCCCTTAGCTCTGCTCTCCCTATGCCTGCCCCTGCTTCTCCCCACAGGTCTCATCTCTGCCTGCTGTCCTCATCCTACAACTAGCCTGTGCCCCCTTGGATGGGAGGACTGGGCCTGGACAATGAGGGGACAAGGGAGCTCCACCCTTTGTGTGCAAGAATTCAAAGTCTGGGTTATTAGCAGCAAACCCGTGCGCTGGTTTGCAAGGGCTCTGCTGTAACGGAACATTATAGACTAGATGGCTTAAAAATCAAAATGTGTTTTCTTACACTTCTGGAGGCTAGAAATCCCAAATCAAGGTGTATTTACTTTCCATGACTGTAACAAAATACCTGAAATCATCAATTTGAAGAGAAAAGATGGTTTGCTTTGGTTCATAGCTTCAGTGGCTTTGAGCTGTGGCTGGGTGGCCCAGTTGCCTTAGGGTCTAAGGTGAGGCCACACATCATGGTGGGGAGAAAGCGCTCCACTCATGGTGGCTGGGAGGGGAGAAAGGAGGGCCCAGGGTCCCCATCCCCTTCAAGTACATGAGCCCCACCTCATAAAAGTTTCCTCCAATCCCCAACAGTGCCAGGCTAGGGGCTAAGCCTTGCATCCCTAGGCCTTAGGGACACCTCCAGTCCTAACTATGGTGCAAAGTGAGGGCAGAGTCCAGAGGCTCTGACTCCCTAGAAGGCTTGATTGTAAGTGGCTGCCTTCCCACCATCTCCTCCCACAGTCTTGCCTCTGCCTGTGTCTGTGTCCCCATCTCTTCTTAGGAAGACCTCACCCACTCTAGACAGGGGCCAAGCTCCCTCATGGCCTCTTTTAATTTACTTCATCTCCAAATTCTGAGACAGGCTTAGGACTTCAATATAAAGATTCAGCAGGACACAGTTCAGTGCACACTGGCTTTTCTCAGCAACATGGTCAGAAGCTCCTCTTCTGATTGGCATCCTGGGGCACATTCAAAGCCACAGTCTTCCTCAGACTCCATCGTCATGGGGGAGCTGGGTGCTACGGGCAGGGTCCCTCTTGTTGAGGTGAGGATGGGGTTCACACACTGAACTCCTGAGCAGTCGCTGCCACAGAGTGGGCTCCAGCATTTGATGGCGGCTCAGGACCCAGCAGCTTAGCAGTTGCAAGTTGATGACAGGACCTTGGAGAAGCATCATCTCCTCTAACCATAAAGAGCCAGGGATTGTGGGCCAGAGTCTGGTCATTCTCTGGGTGGTGGCTCCAGGCTCCTGGTCCCTGTGGAGGTTCTGGAGCTCTAAGGACATCCAGGCCAGAAGGCCAGAGGTTCACCTCAGGAGACCAGTGCTGACCTGGGAGTAAAACTCAAGGATACAATTCCTTGTGACCAGAATTTCCTGGCTCACCATGGGTAGACAGGGCATCAGAAGAAAAAAGCTCTGGCTCAGAGAGAAGATGGTCTGGGAGATGGTCCCCAGGGATAGGAAAGGCCTTCCTGCCTGGCTGGACCTCCGGCATTAGGTACCCAAAAGCCACCTTGAGGCCAAGGATGAAGAGGTGAAGCCTGTGTGATGGTAGATTGGTCCAGAAGGTGGCGCTCAGAGCTTATATTTGTCTACTAGGTCTCCAAAATTGACTTCTTTTGGATGTGTTGCATTTTTTTATTTAAAGACAATAATTTAAAAAACAATACAGAATTTCAAAACAAGATGATAGGAAATTAACAATGGTTATTATATTGCATATTGTTATTTTCAAAGTAATTGCTCAGATTACCAGATATAGACATGTAAAATTGATCAGAAAATATAAGCATTAACTGTTCCTTTCAATGAACTAATAGAAATTCATAGTATAATTGTCTTATTGTGAAAAAGAAAGAAACTGCACAAAAAGGAAAGAATTAGTGCTGGGCGTGGTGGCACACACCTGTAATGCAGCATTCAGGAGGCTGAGGCAGGAGGATCACTGAGAGTTCAAGACCAGCCTAGG